ATGAGTATGAGGCATAGTCTGACTTGTAGGTCTGGGGCCAGCTAGGTCATAGTGGACCAGTGAAGCTAAAATTTATTTGCCAATCAAGCAGTTGCAAAGTGGAGTGGATTAATTCCCCCAAGGACTAGGGGTTAGTTGGTTTGTTTTTCTGACAGCCTAGCTCAAAACTGGGAAGAAACATGGTGGTGTGAGGATAGATGAGATGGCTGTGGTGGGCAGCTGGATGGAATGTAACACATAGCTGTGTAGAGTAATCATTTTTGAAATGGCATTTTAACACATTAAAATTTCAAAACACATCATATACGTTATCTCATGTGAGTCTCACACCAGCCCTAGGAGGTTTATTATCAGTTCTCACTAACCCCATTTTACAGATGAGATAACTAAGGCTCAGAAGGGTCAAGTGACTTGCCTGGTCAGAGAAATAAACACCAGAGGCAAAATTTGAACCCAAGTCTTTCTGACTTTAAGTACAGCTCTTTTCCTGTTACACCACGCCTCCCTCTCATAAATTTTAGTCTTGAAGTCTAAAAACCTAAGTTTGTGTCCCAGCTGCAACATATACTCCATGTGTGACCTGGGGAAAGCCAATTGCCTTGTATTTAGTGGCAATATGTTTGGTGCTGCTCTAAACCCCAGTTTCTTCATCTGTAAAATGGGATTACAATATATGCATTATGTATTTCCCAGGGGGATAATGAAGAAAGCTCATATGGTATGACTGCTTCCCTTTGCCACAAATAATGATTAAATAAAAATATAATAATAAACAATAGATCTATATAAAAGTCTGACGTTGAAGGGCAAATCCAGAGAGACTCACCATTCCTCAGCCACCAGGGTCTTTGGCTACAGCAGCTTGGGAAGCAGTCCTTATGAACGTTCATCAATCTCAAGTGGGCTGGGTATTGAGGTTCATGCCCATGATCTCTGCTTCCGGGGAGGCTGAGCCTGCTGGATCCCTTGAGCTTGGGAGATGCAGTGAGCTAAAACCGATTGATGTCCATCACCTCCATGATGTCATGGTCCTCTTCAAGAGTGAAAGACAAACAACAAAAGCACCATGGGCTGATAGTCCTTCAAACAAAGGGCAAACCAGTCCAGGTTGGAACTAAAGCAAGTCAAAGCTCCCTGTACCAATTGGTAATGGGGTTGCTAAGCCTGGAGTTCAGAAGACCTGAGTTCAAGTCTAGCCTTAGACATTAACCAGCTGTGGGGTCTCTGTCACAAGTCACTTTAACCACTGTTTGCCTCAGTTTCTTCAACTGTAAAATGGATAATAATAGCACTTACCTCCCAGGGTTGTTCTGAGGATCAAATGAGGTAACATTTGTGAAGAGCTTAGCACAGTACCTGGCATACAGTAGGTGGTATATGGTGCTAGTGATTATGAGTATCCATTTTACTATCACCCTGGGCAAAAGAGAGAGACCCGATTTTTTAAAATCTTGAAGCTTTATATAATTGAGTTCCTATTATTTATAATAAGAGGAGGTAGGAGTAAAATGAATAATTGAAGTTGCCAAACCATCGAAATTACATCATTCAGAAGCTTTACTGTAGCCATTAATTTCAAAGCCTCCTCCTCTACCCCACCCCCTAATTTGTTTTGGAGATTAATTTTCTTCTCTCTTCCTTCCCTCACTGACATATTCTTAGTTCAGATGACTAATATAATTGCTAAATTACTCAGTAAAACAGAAGGGGGGAAAAAAAAGCAGAGACTTGAATAATTCGTTGACTAGATCAATTAGGAGTTTTGTTTTTCTTGAGAAAGTGAGGTGGGCAAGTCCTTTAGCTAACGAATGCTAGCAATGGAGAGCCTAGGCTGTGTATTCATTGGTGATCCCAAGATACTCCTCCCTGTACCAGGGGAGTGTATACCAGTATCTGTGAGATCACACATTTATCAAAGTACCCCAAAGGTCCGTTCATGATTATTTACGCTGATGGAGAGGATAAGAGGCAAGAGAAATAAAAAAGTTCCCACTGGCTTTGTCACTAAGGGTTGGTAGAAGTTAGATAAAAAATTTTTAAATGCAGTTTATCAAATTCAACAAATATTTATTAAACAACTATGTGCATTGTACTATGTGCATTAAAGACAACTGTGCACATTGTACTAGATATTTGGAGTTCTCTAAGAATTTTGTTCTTGTTCAGTCTTTTCCAGTCGTGTCCCAACTTTTTGTGACCCTATTTGGAGTTTTCTTGGCAGAGACACGGAGTGGTTTGCCATTTCCTTCCCCAGCTCATTTTACAGATGAAGAAACTGAGACAAATGGGGTTAAGTGACTCTCCCAGAGTCACACAGCTAGGAAGTGTCTGAGGCTGGATTTGAACTCAGTTCTTCCTGACTCCAGACCCAGTGCTCTATCCACGTTGCCATTCTGGGAGCACAGAGACAAAAATTAAATGGTTAATGCCCTTAATGAGCTTACATTCCACTTGGGGGGATATGGTATAAAGGGAGAGACCACTAAAAAGTGGTAGTGGGAGGCTTCCTGTAGAAAGCCTTGTAATGGTGTTGAACCTTTACAAGAAGATAAGGTAAGGAAGGAGAGCATTTCAGGCATGGGGCACAGCTTGGACAGTCAAAAAGGTGAGACGTGGAGTACAAAGTTGGAATAACAGCTGGTGGGCCAGTTTTACTATAACATAAAGTTAGCAAAGAAGAGTAATGTGAAGGAAGGGTGGAAAGGTGCGTGAGGAGTCAGATTTAGGAGGGCTTTAGATATTCAGGCGGAAAAGTTGATATTTTTATCTAGAAGTAATAGGGAGCACCTGAAGATTTTTGAGCGGGGAAGTAACATGGTCAAGCCTGTGGTTTAGGAATATTAGTAACTGGGATGCTTTGTGGAAGGTTAGAGATGTCCATTTCATTCCTCCAACAAAGCAAGTAATATCAGGCAAGAGCTCACCTAATTGGCAGCGGTTTTAAAAAGTTGATTTTATTCATCCTGTCATCTCATAATTGCCTTCAGGAAGATCATATTGGAAGTATTTTAAGATAATTTGTTAGCTACTACAATATTAACAAAACAATTGTCAAACATGGATTTGTTTAGCTAATTTGACTCTGCAGACAAAATAAGAATTTTCCTTGTTACTAATTGGAGATGGGGATATGAGATATGAGGATTCATTTGAGAAATTTCTTCTAATGAATTGATCCATAATAAACTATGTTTGCTTTCTCATAATTTATTAGTTTTACCTTGTGTGAAATAGTTCACTATTTATCTTTGGGCACCAGAAAAGAAAAATAAATATCACTTAGGAGGTAGTATAGTACAGAGGAAAGAACTCAGATATTGTAGTCAGAAGCCCTGGGTTCAAATCTCACCTATGATACTTAATTAAACCTGTGTGATCTTGATAAATCACTTGACTTCCTTTCCTCAGTTTTCCCATCTGTAAAATGAGGGGGTTTGACTAGATGGCCTCTGAGCTCCCTTCAAGCTCAAGATCTATTATCCTACTTTAAAAAAATCATACATATTCAACAAATGTTGTTCTTTTTTTCCCCATTTTTAAAATTATTATTTTCTTTTTTCTTTTTCTTTTTTTTAATAAATTTATTTATTTTTAGTTTTCAATAGTCACTTCCACAAGTTTTTGATTTCCAAATTTCTCACCCCTCCCCCCACCCCAAGATGGCATACATCTGAATACCCCTTCCCCTGGTCTGACCTCTCTTCTATCTCTCCCCTCTCCCTTCTCTTATCCCCTTCCCCTTCTATTTTCCTGTAGAGCAGGATAGACTTCTGTACCCCCATTTCCTGTATTTCTTATTTCCCAGTTGCATGTGAAAACATTTTTTAAAAAACATGTGTTTTTAAAACTTTGAGTTCCAAATTTTCTCCCTTCCTCCCTCCCCACCCACCCTCACTGAAAAGGCAAGCGACTCAATATAGGTTGTACATGTGCAGTTATGCAAAACACTTCCTTAGTAGACATTCAACAAGCATTGTTAAGCAATTGTTTAGAGACACAAAGCGGGATTTAGTACAGATTCTGCCCTTGAGTGGCTTACGCTCTCACATTAGGAAAAGACATGCCCAAAGAGCTGGTGATACAAGATGGATGGAGATACGAGCGGAGAAGATGTCTAGATGAAGTGCTATGGGAAATTTGAGGGGGGATGGGGGAGAAGATAAGGTAACAGGGATTGTGGTGGCAGAGAACTGGAAATTGCAGGAATCCCCGTCAACTGTGGAATGACTAAGCAGGTTGTGTGTATGTTGTGCTGGAATACTACTGTGCTATAAGAAATGATGAGCTCAATGATCTTAGAAGGGCATGGAAAGACATGTGAGAAATGATGAAGAGTGAAGTGAGTGGAACCAAGAGAACATCGTATACAGTAATAGCAATATTGTTTTAAGAACAACTTTGAGCGATTAAGTCATTTTGACCATTATAAATACACAAATTACAAATAAAGGGCATATGAAGATATCTGCTATCTGCATCTAGAGAAAGAACTGATAAATAGAAGTGTATATGGAATAATTTTACATATATATATATATGTGTGTGTGTGTGTGTATATATATAAAAAACTATTTTGTTTAATAGTGGCCATCTCTGTGGAGGGGAGGAAGAAATTTCATAACTTGTATATTTGGAGGGAATAGTAAGTTATAGATTTGCTGTTTCATGCACATCATCATTTTTATTGTACTTTGTTATGGAAATGCTTGTTTTGTTTGTGAATTGAAAAGAAAATAAGTTTTTTTTTAAAAGCCATATTTTCTCCATTTTAGTTATGAAAAATTAGAACAAATCCAGCTCGAATATTCACTAATTTTTCACCAAACTTAGAGAACTGAACATATTTTATTTCGATTTGTTATGTATATGATTATGTGTGGATCGGTCACGTTGAGATCTCATTTGCTGAATGAAGCATGGGCTAAGTGGGGACCCTGGAAGTAGAAGGAAAATAGGATGATGCAATCATGACTCTGCTCTTGACTTTTCCTTACCAACAGATTCTTCAGTTTGAGGATATTTTGGCAAACCCATCCTATCGAGAACACTTTCGAATATATATGGAAAGGATGGACAAGAGAGCTTTGATTAGCTTTTGGGAGTCGGTGGAATATCTGAAGAATGCAAACAAGGTAATTGCTGGAAATGGTATCTTCTCTTTGGTACAGTTTGAATGCTATTAATATACTATGTGTCCTATGAAAATTTCTTTAAAGCAAACATTGAAACATTATATATAGAATCAAAAGTTCCTAGAGTTAAAGGGACCCTGGTTTAATCCTTACCTGAAGCATAAACCACTGCTATAAAATCCCTGACAAGTTGTCATCAGCCTTCGCTTGGAGACCTTCAGTGACAGGGAACTCATTACCTTCCAAGTCAATCCATTCCATCTTAGGACAGCTCTGATTATAAGAAAATTCTTTCTTACATAGAGTTTTCTATAGCTTCTATTTTTCTACCTGTTTCCACCTGATTCTACCCTTTAAGGAAAAGCAGAATTGATCAAACTATTATTCTTACATGAAAGTTCTTTGAAAACCTAAAGAGCTATCCTGCCTTCCCCTAGTTTTTTCTAAACATCCTCAGTTCCTTCAACCAGTATGGCAGCTAGATGGTACAGTGGATAGAGTGCCTTGCCTGGAGCCAGGAAGACCCGAGTTTCCAATCTGGCCTCAGATACTTACTAGCTATATGACCCTAGGTAAGTCACTTAACCCTATTTGTCTCAGTTTTCCCATCTGTCAAATGGTGATAATAATCCTCCTAGTATAGTTATGAGGATAAAAATAAAATAAGATTTGTCAAGTGTTATGCTCTATAAACATTAGTTTTTATTTTAATGATAGAGTTTGAAATCCATTATCTAGATTGGACACAGGCCCGCTTGCTCTTATTAACACAATAGGTGATTAAATAGAGGGAGCTAGGTGGTACAGTGGATAGAGTGCTGGACCTGGAATCAGGAAGACCTGAATTCAAATGCTGCCTCATATACTTACTAGTTGTGTGACCTCAAGCAAGTCACATACCTCTTTCAATTATAGTTATCTTATCTATGAAATGGGGATAACAATGGCACCTATCTCCCAGGGTAGTTTTAATGACAAAATGAGCTGATAAACGTAAGTTGCTTTGCAAACTTTAATTGCTGTTGTCTTCACATCTTCATGACTCTATTTGGGATATTCTTGGTAAAGATACTGGAAGTGGTTTGCCAGTTCATTCTCCAACTCATTTTTATAGTTGAGGAGACTAAGGAAGAAAACAGGGTAAAGTGACTTACCCAGGGTTACACAGCTAGTAAGAGTCTGAGGCCAGATTTGAAGTCAGTTCTCCCTGACTCCAGGCCAGGTATTGTATTCACTGCACAACCTAGCTGCCCCTAAACTTTGAAGTGCTACATAAATGCTAGTTATCATCGTCATTGTCGTTATCTGACTGAGCAGAATAAAATGGCACACAATCTCCCGTTATTCTACACTGTATACTTCTATTAATGCTGCCTATGATAATTAGTGTTAATAGCTACCACATTACAATGAAGGCTCACTGTGCTTGTAATCTACTTAAACAACCAGTGAAATCTTACTCTAATTAAAATTTTACATTGAAAAGCTAGTTCTAACCCAATTATAACTTTTTTTTGCCATATGTGAGGTGAGTTCCTTCCCCTTGAGTGACTTAAATCTAATGGCAACCAGGATGGTTAAGAGATGGGAAGCTACAGCAAATGAATCTTTGTGGAAGTAATAGAAAAGTTCAGTCTGAAGAAGAGATGACTTTTCAAAGGCCCAGAATCTCCATCTTGAAGCTTCTAGGAGGCTGCCATGTGAAAGAGAGATTAGATCTGCCCTAGAACACAAAACCTGAAACAATGAGTAGGAGGTTTCAGTAGCACGGGAGGGAAAACTTCCTAACAAAGTTACTTTAAGTAGGTCTGGGCTCCCTTAAATAGATACTGAGTTCCCCTCAAAAGAATAAGTTAAAAATAAATAAGTACATAAACAAAAACAGTTGGTGAGTTCCCCGGCAGGAAGTCTTATGGATCCCAATGGATAACCTTTTCTAAGAAGATTCCTGTTTTGTTATGAGTGGGTCTGTCACAGGGTCTTTAACCTGGGTTCTGTCAACTTGTTTTTAAAATATTTTGTTAATTCTATTTCGGTATAATTGACTTTCTTTGTAATAGGACATATTTTATTTTATGCATTTAAGGCATTATTCTGAGAAGGGTTTGACCAGGCTGCCAAATGGGTCCATGAATCCAAAAAAGCTTAAGAATTCTGGGCCTTTAAGGTCCCTTTCAGCTCTGAGATCTATAACCATTGAAAATTTTCAAAAGAATACACCTCAGGCTCTGAAGACAATTCCCAGCTGTTCAGCACTCGTATGATGTTTTCATTAGCGTTGTACAAGGTGATTTTGGATGGCACATTTGGATGTAAAAATGATGGTATATTTGTAAAAATAGTAAGCACATGTCCCTGCCACATGTGAGTGAACAGAGAATTTCTTCTCTTTCTTTTCCACTATTCTCCATTGCTTAATTTAATGTCCCTGAGAGTATTAATGTTATGTTTATACACACACACACACACACACACACACACACATGCACACACACACACACACACACACACATGCACACACACACACAGCTACAGTTTTAAAAGTAGAGATTAGTGATATCCTGAATTAATATTAAATGATAGTATGCAGTTATCCTGAAATGTGTCTTATTTTCATTTTATTATTTAACAAAAGAAAATTGTCTTCTCTTTTCTAAGTCATTTAACCTCTCTAAGCTTCAGTATTTTCATTTGCAAAACAGAGCTAGTGATTGCTGACCTCTGGATTATTGTGAGAAAGCTCCTTAAGCTTAAACATGCTACAGAAATAAGTTATCATTATTTATAATTATTATCATTTGAGGTAGACCCATGATTTCATTGGCAGAGAGAATTCCTGATTAAGAAACTCCCTTAAATGCTATCCACATCCAGAGAAAGAACTTTGGAGTCTGAATGCAGATGGAAGCATTCTATTTTATATTTGCTCTCTTTTTTTCTGTTGTTGTTGTTTTGTTCTTTCTTGTGGTTCCTCCCATTGGTTCTAATTCTTCTTTACATCATGACTAGTATGAAAATATGTTTAATTAAAAAAAAATTGAAAAAAAAGAAATTCTCTTTACCAATGCAGGGTCATAGCTGTTCTTAATTTATAGTCTTAGAAAATCATCTGGGATGCTGAGAGATTAAATGAGTTGTCTGGGGTCATGCAGACAGTATTGCCAGAGATAATACTTGAACCCAGGTTTTTCTAACTCTGAGGTCAACTCCATAGCCATACCAAAGATTACTGCTATCGTCATCGTCGTCGTCATCATCATCATCATCATCATCATCACCATCATCATCATCATCATTATTTCTTTTTAAACGCAAGAGACTTAAAAGAAATAATTTGGACTTAATGATTTTAATTTCTTTTCTCTTGACTTCAGCTTTCTCTTTCCTTCTTTACAGAATGAGATACCACAGTTAGTTGGTGAAATTTATCAGAATTTCTTTGTGGAAAGCAGGGAGATATCTGTGGAAAAGTCACTTTACAAAGAAATCCAGCAAAGCCTCGTAGGAAATAAAGGCATTGAGGTATTCTACAAAATCCAGGGAGATGTTTATGAGAGGCTGAAGGACAGGTATTACCCTCATTTATTGTCAGTGACCTGTATGAGAGACTGATCAAGAAAGAAGAAGAGAAGAATGTTTCACAACTGATTTCTGACAAGGGTGAAGTGGTGTGTATCTCATTTTATTTTTCTGCTGTCCTTTGCAATAAATGAACTATGACTACAAATCCTATGCACGTCAAATTTTCAGTCCGGCACACAATCAGTGAACATTCATTAAGCACCTACTATGTGCCAGGCTTTGTTCTAAGTGCTGTGAATACAAAGGAAGCCGACAGACAGTCTCCACTGTCAAGGAACTCACAGGCTAAAAGCAGTTTGCTACTACTAGTAGCAAACAGTGAAGTACAAACAAGCTACACGCAGGTTGAACTGGAGATTACCTTGGAGGGAAGACACTAAAATTAAGAAAGGCTTTCTAGGGGGCAGCTAGGTGGCGCAGTGGGTAGAGCACCAGCCCTGACGTCAGGAAGACCTGAGATCAAATCCGGCCTCAGACCAAACACTTGACACTTACTAGCTGTGTGACCCTGGGCAAGTCACTTAACCCCAATTGCCTAAAAATAAAAGATGAATTAAAAAAAAAAAGAAAGGCTTTCTGTAGAAGGCAAGATTTTAGCTGAGACCTCAGGGAAGCCAAGAGGTGGATTCAAGGAAGAAGAGCATTCTAGGCATTGGGGGATATGGAATCTGGAGATGGAGTGTCTTGTTTGAAGAATCACAAGGAGGTCAGTTTCACTGCATTGCAGAATTTGTGGGAGAGAATGGGGCATAAGGTATAAGATGACAGGAAAGGTGGGAGGGGGCCAGGTCATGAAGGGCTTTGAATGCTTAGGACAGTGCCTGGCATATTTGTTGCTGTTCATTTGTTTTTCAGTCATGCTAACGCTTTGTGATCCCATTTGGGGTTTTCTTGGAAAAGATACTGGAGTGGTTCACCATTTCCTTCTCCAGCGCAATTGACGGATGAGGAAACTGAGGCAAAGAGGGTTAAATGATTTGCCCAGGGTCACACAGGTAGTAAGTGTCTGAGGCCAGATTTGAGATCAGGAAGATTAGTCTTCCTCACTCTAAGCCTGGTACTCTGTCCACAGCTCTGCCTAGCTGCCTTGGCTGGCATACAGTAGGTGCTTAATACATGCTTCTTCATTCTTAACCTATAGCATGCAGACTGTAGGACAGTAAGCATGACTTCAGTTCTGGGCAAAATGCTAGAACATAATCTTTAAAGACATTTTGTAAACATCTTGAAAGAGAAATGTATGATTTCATCAAGAGTATACCGTATCAAAGTAATTAGATATAGTTTGGCCAAGTCTTTCATTTTCTGCCCTTCTGGACAAGGGGAAGAACTAGGAGCTAAAGAAGAGCATAGTTAGGGGAAGCTCGGTGGCGCAGTGAATGGAGCTCCTGTCCTGGAGTCAGGAGGACCTGAGTTCAAATCTGGCCTCAGACACTTGACACTTATTAGCTGTGTGACCCTAGGCAAATCACTTAATCCCAACTGCCTTACCAAAAAGAAAAAAAGGAAAAAAGAAAAAAGAATATAGTTAGATGGATTTACAACTTGTTGAATTACCGGTTACACATAATCACTAATGCCTTTATGTCAGGTTGCACAGGGTTCTCTCTCTAGTGGAGGGCCAGAAGGATCTGTGCTTGGTTTAATTTTATTCAGCATCTTTATGAGTGACTTGGATGAAGCCACAGGCAGCATGATTATCAGATTTGCAGATAACACAAAACTAAGAGAAATAACTTCTTTCTTAGATGGATATATCAGTATCCAAAACACTTCTCAACAGCCTAGAATGATGGATTGACTCTACAGTGAAATTAAATGGAGATAGCTATGTAAAGTCTTGGACTTGTGATCCAGAAATCAGTATCACAAGTTCACAATGTGGGGGCCTAGGGGTGGGGGGTCGAAAGGCATGACTAGGCAGAAGTTTCTGTGAAAATGATCTGGACAAAAAAAAATGATCTGGACAACAGACTTAATATGAGTCAATGTAGAACATGGCAGCTCAAAAGTTAATGTAATCTTAGGTTCCATTAAGTGTCCAGAAGGGGAAGGACACTTGTCCTACTGTACCTTTTCCTGGTTAGACCACATTGGTAGTATTGCGTTCAATTCTGGTGCCACATTTTAGGAAGGACCATTGATAAGTGGAACAGCATTCCTAGGAAGACAAGAAAATGGTCAAGGACCTTGACCCAATGCCATGTGAAGATGTGAGGACAGTTAGCCTAGAGAAGATTACAGGGAGGAGGAGAAGTGGCGGTCTTCAGATCTTTGAAAGACCACCTTGTGCAAGAGGAACTTGGCATCTTCTGCTTGGCTTCAGAGGGCAGAATCAGGAGAACTGGTTAGACATTACAGAGAGGCCAGTTTAGGCTCCCTTTACAAAAATATCTTTCTAAAAATTAAGAGTTGGCCAAAAATGGAATTGGCTTTTTAAGGAGTTCGTGTGTCCCCCACCTCCTAGGAGGTCTTCTGGAGAAGGCTGGATATTGTAGAAGAGATTCCTACTCAAGTAGAAAGTAAATTAGAGGACCTCTCAAATCTGAGGTTTGGGGATTCTGTGGGGGAAAAATATATTAACATAAAACTTTAAGATTACAAAGCCCTTTTCTCACAACAACCTCACGTGGTAAGTGGAGAAGCTGGGCCTCAGAGACTTGATTTGACCTGGGCATGGTCACACAGCTAGTAAATGTCAGGGCTGGGATTGGAGCTCAGGTCCCCCTGACTCCAAACCCAGCACCCTTGCACTCTATCAGATGCAGCAGTAGAGCCATAGCTAGAATCAGACAACCACAGAAGACAGTTTAGGCAGCTTTGCCCTGGGCTCTGCTCTGTATCATTAGTGTAAGTCAAGTTTATGTGAAGTTTCAAAATCCACCAGATGGACCATCATTACTTGGAGAAACAGAATTAGACCCCTGTCAGTGTTGGACATATTCCAAATGTCTACCTGCTAATTTGGTCGTAAAATGCTTCACTAACCAAGTTACAAACGGCATGTTATTAAGATGTAATTTATCAGATTCATTAAGGAAGAACCTTACTGTGGGAGATTTGGGAATTTTATTTAAAATTGTAGCAGTTCCCATGATGTTTCTCTCAGAAGCCGGAAGTTCTCCATATCCTCATATCAAACATGAGTCATAGAATATTTCTGTTTAGTTAGTAAGAGGGCCCACCCCAGGAGCCTTCCAGCGTCTGGTTCCATGCCTAGCAAGGCTCCCTTGTTTCAAACCTTGGAAAAGTAGACAGTACCTATGAGTAATTCTTCTCCCATCCCTTCAGGCCATGATGCAATATTTACATCTTTTATGAGACTGTGAATACCAGATATTGGGCTCTGAAGCATTTCTCCTTACAGTTAGAGAAGAAAAATGTTTTGCTGACGGTGTCTGTGTTGTCATGACGGAGCATTTGGAGCGGCGTTGGTGGATAATCCTGGAATGGGTCTGCCATGTTAATTAAACAACATGGCTGGCTGGAATTTAAAATGCTGATGACTTCTTTTCTAGAGCCAAGGAGGTGAAGTTGGGGAGGAAACCATGGAGGAAGCCAATGATCGGATTAACGAGCAAGCCAGTTATGCTGTGAACAAGCTACGGGAATTAAATGAGAAACTGGATTATAAAAAGCAAGCTCTGCATTCTATTCAAAACGCACCCAAACCTGATAAGAAGGTACAGTTTAGTTTTCAATTTCCTAAGCAAAAGTTCATAGCTTATGCCAACAGGAAGCCTTTCCTAGCCCCTGCTAATGGTAGGATCTGGAGCTCCTACCTCACAGGCTGGTTGTGAGATATATTCATATACATGTAGGTACATACATATTATGTGTCTGTATATGTACACATACATATATATGCATATATACATGTGTGTATGTTTAAACACACAAAATGTTTTGACTTTAAAGTTCTATATAAATATGAGCTATTATTATTATTGTCAACTATTGATATCAGTCAACTCTAGGCACTGAGAACAAAGGTAAAAATGAGAAAGTGCCTGCCCTTGGAGCAGCTAGGTAGTACATTGGATAGAGTTCCAGCCTTGAAGTCAGGAAGACCTGAGTTCAAATCCGGCCTCAGACACTTGATACTTAGTAGCTGTGTGACCCTGGGCAAGTCACTTAATCCTGTTTGCCTCTCCAAAAAGCAAAAAAAAAAAAAAAAGAGGAAGTGTCTGCCTTCAAGAAGCTTACAATCTAGCAAGGGAGATATGTCCATATTTTGTATATATGCATATGGAGATGTCCCAAAAGTCTTAGTGTAGTTTTAAGCTACTAATAGCATAAAGCTTTAATTAATTTGAGTTTTTGATTGTTTAAAACTTTAAAGCGTTACATCATTGATAATTTTAAAGTGCACTACTGCTTTTGGGACACTATGTTTACGCATTGTCTACCCTGTTAAATTTAAACTCCTCTGGGGCAGAGATGGATTAACTTTTGTCTTTGCATCCCAGTGCCTAGCATAGTGCCTAGTACACAGTAGGCACTTAATAAATATTTGTTGACTGATTGATATCAATAGCTGACAATAATAATAAAAATTTTTTTTACATAACATTTTAAGGTTTGTAAACCCCTTTGCATGTATTATCTGAGCCTCACAACATTCCTACAAAGTTGGTATTCTAGGTATTCTTATCCCATTTTATTTATTTATGTATTTACTTATTTTTGCCCTTTTTTTTGTGAGGCAATTGGGGTTAAGTGACTTGCCCAGGGTCACACAGCTAGTAAATGTCATGTGTCTGAGGCTGGATTTATTTGTTTATTTATTTATTCATTCATTCATTCATTTATTTAGTTTTGGCTAGGCAGTGGGGTTAAGTGACTTGCCCAGGGTCACACAGCTAGTAAGTGTTATGTGTCTGAGTCCGGATTTGAACTCAGGTCCTCCTGACTCCATGGCTGGAGCTCTATCTACTACACTACCTAGCTGTCCCTATCCCACTTTACAGATGAGAAACTAAAGCTAAGGAGGGTTAAATAACTTGATTATGTTCACATATCTAGTAAGAAACAGAAGTGGAATTCTTAGGGCAGCTAGGTGGTACAGTGGATAGAGCACCAGCTCTGGAGTCAGTAGGACCTGAGTTCAAATGTGACCTCAGACATTTAACTATCTGTCTTACCCTGGGCAAGTCACTTAACCCCAAATGCCTTGCCAAAAAAAAGAAGTGTAGTTCAAACCCCTGCCTCCTCTCGGATGTAATACTGCCTCATTCCATAAAAAAAATACTTTAAATGTGATCGGTTTCTTATATCTGTACTGTTTGAGATCTTTAAAAAAATTTAAAAAAATTTTTTAATATAAATTTATTTATTTGTAGTTTTCAACATTCACTTCCACAAGTTTTTGAGTTCCAAATTTTCACCCCATCTCACCCTTCCCCCCACCCCAAGATGGCATGCATTCTGAATATCCCTTACCCTAGTCTGTCCTCGCTTCTGTCTCTTCCCCCTTCTCTTATCCCCTTCCCCTTCTATTTTCCTCTGGGGATCTCTTTCAGGAGGAGATCTGTGGATTCTTTCAATTTCTATTTTGCCCTCTGGTTCTAAAATATCAGGGCAGTTTTCCTTGATAATTTCTTGAAAGATGATGTCTAGGCTCTTTTTTTGATCATGGCTTTCAGATAGTCCAATAATTTTTAAATTCTCTCTCCTGGATCTATTTTCCAGGTCAGTTGTTTTTCCAATGAGATATTTCACATTGTTTTCTAATTTTTCATTCTTTTGGATTTGTTTTACAGTGTCTTGATTTCTCATAAAGTCACTAGCTTCCAATTGCTCTATTCTAATTTTTAAGGAAGTATTTTCTTCAGTAATCTTTTGGACTTCCTTTTCCATTTGGCCAATTTTTCTTTTTAGGGCATTCTTCTCCTCATTGGCTTTTTGGACCTCTTTTGCCATTTGGGTTAGGCTGTTTTTTAAGGTGTTATTTTCTTCAGTATTTTTTTGGGTCTCCTTTAGCAAGCTGTTGACTTGTTTTTCATGATTTTCTTGCATCACTCTCATTTCTCTTCCCAGTTTTTCCTCTACTTCCCTTACTTGCTTCTCAAAATCCCTTTTGAGCTCTTCCAAGGCCTGGGACTGATTCATATTTTTCTTGGAGGCTTTGGATGTAGGAGCTTTGACTTTGTTGTCTTCTTCTGGTTGTATATTTTGATCTTCTTTTTCACCAAAGTAAGATAATATAGTCTGACTCTTTTTGTGCTGCTTGCTCATGATCCTGGCCAATTACTTGAGTTTTAAACTCTTTGTTAAGGTAAGAGTCTGCTTCCAATGTGGAGAATGTACTGTCCCAAGCTTCAGGGGTTTTGTACAGCTGTTTTCAGAGATACTTGTAGGGACCTGTAAATTTTCAGTTCTTGCAAGGTGGTATGATAAGGGGCGAGGTGTTTACTCCTTTCCTGGCCTGTGACCACAAGTATTCCTTTCTGTTCTGTAACTGTGAGGAAGGGTTCCTCTCCACAGCCACTACAAGCTCTGCCACACCAGTGCTCCTCCTCACCCCAGCACCACAGCCCAGAACTGTGACCCAGATCCCAACACGGGCAAAGCAAGAGATTCCTGCCTCAGTACTGACAAAGAGATCCCTGCAATCCCTCTCTGATCAGCCACTGGATTCCCCCTCAGTCTATGGGCCGGAAGCTCGGGAAGCAGCTGCCCCCCCCCCTCCCCTGGGCCATGCTTTTGGGGAATGGAGCTGAGACCCCGCCTTCCTGTCTCAGCACTGCAGAAACGACTTTTCCCACTGACCGTCTCAGTTGTGTTTGGCATTCGTGGATTGAGGAGTCTGGAAACCTCCACAGCTGCCCGTGATTCAGTCCTCTGAGGCCTGCTCCAGGTTCGCTGTGGCCTGCGTGCCCACGCCGCACTGCGCTCCCAGCCCTGGGAGATATACCTTTCTGATCAACCAACCAGGTTGATTTGGGCTGGAAATTTCTTTTACTTTGTCTTTTTGTGGATTCTGCTGCTTCAGAATTTTTTAGAGCCATTTTTTATGAGTATTTGGAGGGGTTTGGGGGAGAGCTCAAGCAAGTCACTGCTTTCGCTCCGCCATCTTGGCTCCACCTTGTTTGAGATTCTTGAAGACTTCTTTTTTAATGTCATGATATTTTATACTCTTCTCATTTCTCAGACAAATTAACTGTTGCATTCATTTATGTATTATACAAGTGAGATAATATTTGTAAAGCATTTTGCCAACCTTAAAGCACTATGTAAATGCTAGCAATTATCTATATGGAGTTTTTCCAATTATGAAGAGCTTTTCACACATTATCTCATTTGATGATATTTCATCTGTGTATTCTTGTCATGAGCTCTCATCCTTTGTCTGCAGAGAGGGTAGAATTGTTTTCTGTCCCACCTAAATCATCTCTTGGTACCAAGTTGGGCACCTTCCTCCCTTCTGGTAACTTGAATTACCACCTGGTGCACACCTGAATCATCACCATAATGTCACATTAAGATTTGCAAAGTACATTTCCTCATAACAGTCCCTCGAGGGAGATGGTATAAATTATTATCCCTGTTATATGGAAGAAGAAACAAAGGGAGCTAAATTTGCTTGTCCACAGTAAGCGATTCATCTAAGACCAGAATTTGGGGCTTTGAATACAAGATATCAATGGCTTCCTCCCTACACCATGCTGATTTTCTAGAAAGAAATTAGTTTGTTAGAAGCTTATGAAGTTTCAAAGATTAAGAATTAATCAGCCAGCATACCTCTCCCATACTGGAGCATAAGCCATGTGATCCAGGATGAATTCTGACTTTTTGCATGTGTTCAACTGAAATAATGAGTTTTCACTGGTTAAAGCATTTCATTGACCTTCCTTCCACACCAGCCTTCTCTGCTTCTGGAAGTGTGTATTTGAGTCTTGTCTATTCTAAGAAAATAGGGACAGGCAACTTTGAGTGTTAAACTGTTACCAAGCAATCAGCAGCATTTATTAAGTGCCTCCTGTATGCCAAGCACTGTGTTAGATGCTAAGAGACACAAAGGCAGAAATTAAATTACCTGTATAATTCAAGGAGGTTACATTTTTATTGTATATTTTTCTGAATCAGTTTAGGCCTTCCATGAATGCATGCATCAGTCTCTGTTTTTGAACAGGAAGCACATGTAAATCACCACTGATGCTTTTATTTTTATCTTTTGGCCTGGACCCATAATTTCATTGGTGAGTGGAATTCCAAGTATAGAAATTCCTGCTGCTGTTGCAAATCAGTAATTTATTTTTAATTTACAGCCTTAGAAAATTAGGTGGAATCTTGTATAATGATCTACTGTGAATAATTTAGCTATTCTCAGCAGTGCAATGATCCAAGACAATTCTGAAGGATTTATGATGAAAGATGCTGTCTGTCTCCAGAGAAAGAACTGGTGAAGCCTAAATATACATCAAAGATACTTTTTCTTTACTTTCTTTATTTTTCTTGGGTTTTTTTTAATCTTTGTTTTCTTTTACATGACTAAACATGTATAACCCATGTCAGATTGCTTGCCTTCTCAGTAGTGGGGGAGAGAAAGGAGGGAGAGAATTTGGAACTCAAAATTTTTTAAAAAAAGTGTTAAAATGGTTTTTATGTAGTTGGGAAAAATATTTAACTAAAAAAAAGAAAATTAGTTAGGAGGTTAAGAGAACTTTCCCCACAATTAATATGTGATAGAGGTCGGACTTAAATTCAAGTGTTTTGGGTCCAGTCCTCATCCTCTAGGCCATGCTCCTTCTCCTTTATATACATGGTGAATGGATACTTTGGCATTGGCTGGGCTTGCCTAAAAATAGATGTAATATAATCAGGACATCTCAAAAACCTCTCATATTAAAACCTCCATCAACAATTTACAGCCAGTAATTTATGTCTTTTCCTAGATAATTCAATGGTATGGTCTAGAGAAACAGTACGTGGGCCTAACTCTATGTTGTAGCCTTCACCCAGGACCAGAAAAGAGAGGTGAATTAAATATAATTTAATAATAAACAGTCTGAGCTAATAAGAAAATTAAAAACAGCCAGGCTTCCTGTGTCACCATAAGAACACTAAGTCTCATATTCTTTTGCATGCATGAGTCACTGCCTGGTAATCCGTCTGGCACTTGTGGGGGTCATGTTTGCTCAGTCTTCCAGGTCACCAGAGGACCATTTGGATTACAAAAACAAAGGGAGGTGGGTCACCGTATCACTAGCCTGTAGTCAGAGTTGGCAGTGAAATAAGTCTTCAGAAAACATCAAGTCAGGGGCAGCTAGGTGGCACAGTATATAGAGCAAACCAGCCCTGGATTCAGGAGGACCTGAGTTCAAATGTGACCTCAGACACTTGACACTTAGCTGTGTGACCCTGGGCAAGTCACTTAAGCCTGATTACCTCGCAAGAAATAAAAAGCACAAAACAAAAACAAACAAATAAAAGAAATGGTCAAGTCAAAAAACATTCATTAAGCACTTACTATGCTAATCACTGGGGTTACAAAGAAAAGCAAAAGACTGTCTCTGCCCTCTAGGACTTAGAGTCTAATGAGAGAGACAATATGCAAACAGTTATGTACCAATAAGATGTAGGCAGGATCAATTGGGACTCATCCAAAGAGGGAGGGCCCTCGAATTAAGGGAGAACAGCAAAGGCTTCTTGTAGAAGATGGGACTTGAAGGAAGAAGCCAGGAGAAGCGGAGGAGAAGGGAGAAATTGTCAAGTTTAAGGGACAGCCAGTGCAAATGTATGCAGTAGGAAGATGGAGTGTCTGGTTCAAGGAATAGCAAGGTGGCCAGTTTCACTGGATAGCAGCGTGTGTGGAGAGGAGTAAGGTGTAGAAGTGGAAAAGTCATGAAAGGCCAAAGAGAGGATTTTATAATTGTTCTTGGAAGGAATAAACTAGAGTTTGTTGAATGGGGTGGAGGTGACATGGTCAGATCTGAGCTTCAGGACAATCACTCATTAATGATTAGAGGATTAGAGGAGTGGATAGAGTTCTGGTCTAGAGTCCAACAGACTCATCTTCCCGAGTTCAAATCCAGCCTCAGATATTTACTAGCTGTGTGATCCTGGACAAGTCACCTCACCCTGTTTGCCTCAATTTCTCACCTGCAAAATGAGAAACCACTCCAGTATCATTGCCAAGAAAACTCCAAATGGGACATGGAGGGTTGGACACAACTGAAAAAATGATTGAACAACTGAACAGAGGATGAACTGAAGTAGAGACAGATTTGAGGTGAAGAGGCCAAACAAAAGATTATTGTAGTAGTCAAGGTGTGAGGTGATGAGGACCTGCCCCAAGATAGTAGCAGTGAGAAGAGAAGAGGGCCTATACAAGGATGCTTTGAAGGCAGAATTGACGGAATTAGCATCTGATATGGTGGGCAGCTAGGTGGTGCAGTGAGTAGAGTGCTAGGCCTGGAGTCAGGAAAAACTGAATGCAGATCTTGCCTCATCTATGTACTAGCTGTGTGACCCTGGGCAAGTCATTTTACCCTGTTTACCTCAGTTTCCTCATCTGTAAAATGAACTAGAGAAGTAAATGGCAAACAACTCCAGTATATTTGCCAAGAAGACTCTAAATGGAATCATGAAAAATCGGAAATAAGTGGATGGTAACAAAATGGCATGGATGAGAGGGTGAGGAATTGAGAATGACCTTTAGGTTGCAAGCATAGCTGATTGGGAGGATGGTGGTACCCTCCATAGCAATGGGAAAGTTAAGGAAGAAGAGAGAACTTGGGGAGAACAGCTGTTTATTCTGATTGAACACTAATCAAATTATAAATAAAAGTCATTCTGTTGTCACCTGGAAACTAAATGAAACAGTGAAACATAGTTTTTGTGTTATTTGAAATATGTACTGTTGCTGGATTCTCCATAGATCTAACTCACATTTCTATAGAGAGCTTGATTTCTATTCTCTCCCGCTACCTAATCATTGTTTCCCTTAAGGTTATAAATCTTTTGCCCCTCTAAATGAATTCTACTATTATTTTATCTAACCCTAGTGTATCTTCTTGGTAGTTCTATTGGTATAGTGCTAAATCTGTAAATCATTTTTGATGATCCTAGCATGGCTCGAGAATAAGTATTGGATGGTCCATCTAATTATTTAAGTTATTATTTAGTTCTATGAAAACTGTTTTATAATCATACTTACACTTGTCTTGAATGTAACCTTCTCAGATTGACTCCCATATATACTATATATTTGTCATTATTATAAATGAGTTCTCTCTTTCTATTACAGACTCTTTTCTTTTGTTATTATTATATAGACATGCCAACGATATTGGTGTTTGTTTTGTTTTCTGCTGTTTTGCTGGAGTTATTGTCTCAATTAGTTTCTTTGCTGATTATCTGAGGCTTTCTAAGTAGACTTTGAAGTCATCAGCAGATGGGGCAAGTGTTCTTTTTGCCAGTGTTTATGTCTTTAATTTCTTTCTCTTGTCTTATTGCTATCATAACAATCTTGTGTGTCAAATAACCAGGGCGGGGGAATCCTTGCTTTGCTCCTGTATTTATGACAAAAACTTCTGTTTCCTTGTTTTTGAGAGGCTTTCTTAAAAGAACTTTAACCTGAAATTTAGGGGTGGATTTCATTTTGAATTGTAAAAATTGAAAAGTTCTTCAGATTGCTTACTGAAGTTTTTTTATTTTTTTATTTTTATTCAAGGTTAAGCAATAGTTAGTTCCAGCTAAGGAAATTTAGATATTTAAGTTACAGAATTTATTGAGTAGTAGAAGGGGAACTGGCCTTGTAGTGAAAAGACCCATGCCGTGGGTTCAAATATGTCACTGATATTTACTCCCTAGTGATTGTAGTCAAGGTTGTAGGATTCTAGAATCATTCATTTAAAACGAGAAAGGATTTTAAAGGCCCTTGAGACCAACCCCCTCATTTTACTTATGGGAAAACTGAGGCTCAGAGAGGTTGCATGGCTTGCCCAGGGCCACCCAGCTGGTAGCTAAGGGGAGGGTTTGAAGCCACTTCTTCCTAACTCCAAGTCCAGTGCTCTGTCCAGTGTACCATGGTGCTTAATCTCTCTGAGCCTCAGTTTCCTCATCTGTAAAATGGAGAAGGCAGTGCTTGCTCAACCTACTTCACAGGGTTGTTCTTTCCTTTTAAATAATATTTAAATTTTTCCAATTACATGTAAATATAATTTTTACATTACTTTTCATATAAAATTTTGAATTCCAAATTTTCTCCCTCCTTTCCTCTCCTTCCCAAGATGGTAAGCAATTTGATACAGGTTATATATGTGCAATCATGTAAAACATTTCCGTATTAGTCATATTTTCACAGGGTTATTATGAGAAAGATGCCTAGAGGCAGTTGATGGCACAGTGGATGGATCACTGGGCCTAGAGGCAGGAAGACACAAATTCAAATATGGCCTCAGATACTTACTAGCTCTGTGACCCTGGGCAAGTCACTTAATCTCTGTTTACCTTAGTTTCCTCAACTGTAAAATGGAGGTAGTAATAGCACCTACTTTGTAGGGTTGTTCTGAGGATCAAATGAAATCATATTTGTAAAGCCCAGTTACTGGCACATAGTAGGCACTTAATAAATGCTTATTTGTTTCTTTCCTTCCTTTAATGACTTGTCCAGGGTTACAACAGTTAGTAAGTGCCTGAGGCAGGCTTTGATATCCTGTCTTCCTGACTAAGTCTAGGAACTTTTTCCTCCATGCCATCTTGCTGTAATAAAGGTCAGGGGTCTGAAGTGGGATTTGAACTCAGGTTCTCCAACTCCTGAGCCAGTACACTTTCCATTGTACTATGCTGCCTCCTTGCTTTGGGATTATGGAGGAGGGATAGCTTACTATTGGTTGGGGATGGCTGATGGAGGAGCCAATATCATGATGCTTTGGAGCATAACCCTGCCCACATTACCATCAAGTAGATGGAGGCTACTGAAAATATTTTCTAAACGCTACGCTGTCTCACCTGTGGCAGATTGTTTCCAAGTTGAAGGAAGAAATCATTCTTATGGAAAAAGAACGTAATGACCTTCAGCTACACATAGCAAGGACGGATTGGTGGTGTGAGAATCTTGGCATGTGGAAGGCCTTCATCAACAGTGGGGAGGTAGGTGAGGCTACTTTTATCTCACCTGGGTTTAAATTTTTCATTTAGAGGAAGAAGTTTTCTTTTTTTTTTAACCATCTGTGTTATTCTGGAGGATTGTTAGCATTTGAGAAACATATAAACACTCAAGTTCACTCTATTTTTCCATATTCCATCTATTTTATTCATTATCTCTTTCTCATATAAACCCCAAGTTGGTCATTGGAGCAGCTACAGGGCACTAAAATGGCCTTCACCCCACAAGAGAGGGCAGGGTGTAGAAACCCATCGCCAGTATTGCCAGGAGCCTGCCCATTAATGTCCTTGAAAACATTGATCCGTTTTCCCGTCCTCATTAAAGACTGAAATATGATGGAGTGAGTCACTTGTAGCCATGGGAGGGAAAAGAGAAGAAGCCTTAGAATGGGATAGAAAGAAGCCTCTTAGTTGCATGTAATGTGTTAGCATTTCAAGGAGAAGATACAAAAAACATAAAATGCCCTCTGGTTGTTCTATCCTTCCTTGTGGTGAAATGAGACAAAATCTTTAGATTGCTTGTCTCTGATCCTGGCCTGAAATCTGATTTGTTCTCATGATATGTGTGTGTGTGTGTGTGTGTGTGTGTGTGTGTGTGTGTGTGCGCGCGTGTGCGCGCGCCTGCACATGTTTTAAATCTATTACTTTTCTCTGGTGAAATAGGGAAAACAGACTGGGGAATGCATGGTATCTTTTTTTTTCTCCATTAACACTCTGTTCAGTTTAGAGGGAAAGACATTTCTAGGTCCCTGTGCAATTGCCACTGACAGATTCTCCTTCCCATCTGTTCAGCTATTTGTCAGTACAAAGAGGGACAGGGTTTTGTTCCAGGGAAAGTCAACCGTGCTTGTGCGCCACCATTGTTACTTATTACAAAGTTGGTCATTCCGGTGGCTGCCAGTATCTTGTGATTTGAAGTGGGCTTTCAGTTCCTGCCTGCCCTAGATAATAGCATCAAGTGGTCTGCCACCCTCCCTTTACCTGACCTGAAAACTCCACCATTAGGGCTAAAAACCTAGGTTAGATAACAAAAAAAAAAAAGACATGGTCTCCAGAAATCTACCCTAGAAATACATGTGTGTTACCTGAGAGTTGGCATCATCTCCCTGGCTCTACTGTCATATATTAGAAATTTGAAATAATAAAGTTGATTGCTTTGTCTGATTACCTTTTTAAACCTTTGGAGAAAACCAAGAGAAACTCAGAGAAGGTTACTGTAAATTCACAAATCTCAAGTTGGAAGGGACCTAAGAGGCCATGTATTTCAGCTCCTTTATTTTACTAAGAAGGAAACTGAGGCCCAGGGAAATTAAGCAACTTTCCCAGTCATATAGGTAATAAGTGCCCGAGGTGAGATTTGGAACAGCTAGTGAGATGGGACACAGTGGAGCTTCAGGAGAAGGACCATGGAATCCAGAAAGCTTTTGCCTTTTGTGGTGGAAACCCTAACCCTAACCCTAACCCTAATTGCTAGGTGAGGAAGATCAGACTTATGGGATGCTAAAACAGAGATTCTCCATGAGAGTGTGTGTGTGTGTGGGGGTGAGTGTGTAGGGGGGGTTGGAGAATAATAATAGCTAGCTGTTAGACATGAGCCTTACAACAATCACTGCCCCCCTATTTAACAGATGAGGAAATAATAATAGAAATATTACCTGGTATTCAGGTGGTGTTTTAAGGTTTACAAAGCCCTTTGCATACATTACCATATTAGATCCTCAGAACAATCTGGTAAGGTTTAATACTAAGAGGAATTATTCTCCCCATCTTACAGATGAAGAAACTGAGGCTCGGAGAGGTTAAGAGATCTGCCCAAGTTCACACAGCTATGAAGTCCTAGCTGCTGTTGAATCTAGGGTTCTTCAAACTATACCACAAACATTTTCTCCTAGCTCACTCCCTTGGCATCTTATTGAAATAAATTTCATATGCTTGATGCAATGAATAAAGAGCTAGCCTTTGAACCAGGAAGATCTGAGTTCAAGTCTCACCTCTGATGCATTACTGGCTATGTGATCCTTCAGCAGAGAGGCTTCATCATTGGCAACTAAGTTAGAGGTTCTTAACCTTTTGTGACATGGAGTCCTTTGAGTCTGAGAAAGCCTATGGAGTGCCTCTCAGAATACTGTTCTTATAGTCATTAAATAAAATACACGGAATTATAGAGGAAACCAATTGTATTGAAACAGAGTTATAAAAAATATTTTCTAAAAAAAAGAATTTCATGGAACCCAGATTAAGAACCTTAATTCTAATAATAAGTTACCGAGAAGGTGCTGACCTGCAGTGGTGGAGGGCTCTTCCTCATCTGGGAGATCCCTCCTATATCAATGAAATCTTAAGGCCAGTCTTCTCCCTCTCCCAATGTTGATACCAGGCAGCTATTCATAAAATGCATTTTTTTTCTTTTTCTTTTGTGAACCTGGTCAATTCTTGCAACTTATTGGGGAGTTCTCATTGAACCTATGGAAGGAGCTGAAAGGTTACTTGCCTGTGAACCCATAGCCAACTCACTTGACGATTCATCAGGGATAGGATTCAACCAAACATTTTGACTTATTGCCGTTTTGAACATTATTTAGAATATTGTTTCAGGCTTCTTTATTCTCGTGTTGTATTTGTATCACATTATCATACATGTAACACGGGACATGTTGATCCGTTATGCAGATGCAACATTTGTGGAAATGAGCCGTTGATTCTGGGCTGGGAAGCTTATCGATTAATGAAAAAATGATTTCATGAGACTGGAAGTCATGTGTTTTTGACTCATGAAGTCAGATGGGTGAGGCCCTTAGCAACCCAGTTTGACATACATGCAAATAAAACCAATGATTTTACCATTCCCTTTTTAAAAAATAGCTATCCAAGGGGATGTGGTTTACATTTGATTTACATTTTTGCTTTCTTCAAGGTTTTAGAAGAAAATGGGGAACAAATGCCCTGCTACTTTGTCATGGTCAGCTTGCAAGAAGTCAGAGGGGTTGAAACAAAGAACTGGACAGTCCCCAGGAGGCTCAGTGAGTTTCAGAATTTGCACCGGAAGCTTAGCGAGGTATGGATTCTTGGGGAACTTTGAGTCCTGGCATGGTAGAGGGGGGAAAGATGGCCCCCAAGAGCATCTAATCCAACCTCTTCACGGTATGAGTGAGGAAATTAACCTTTCTCTTTATATGAAATGCCCTGGAAATAGGGTATTTTCACCATGACATTTTGGAAATTTGGTATTGAAAGGAAAGCTCCTGAGAATCATGTAATTCAGGGACTTTGAGACCAGTTGGGTGATCTCCATTTTCAAAGCTAAACTCCACAGGACCTCTTTTTTGCTTGAAGGTCTGCAAGGACAAGAGCCCTTTCATTTTCCTTGGGAATACATAGTAACAATAAGAACAATAACAGGAGGAATGCTGCCAATAATGGGCATTTGTTGTAAGGCTTTACAGTTTGTGAAGTGCTTTGCAATTATTATCTCATTTCATCTTCACAACGACCACGGGAGGTAGGTGCTCTTCTCCCTATTTTATAGAGGAGGAAACTGAGGCAGACAGAGGTTGAGTGACTTGTCGCACAGCTAGGAAATGTCAGAGGCCAAATCTGAGCTCTGGAAGATGAGTCTTTCTGACTCCAGGCCCAGCACTTTATCTACCGCGCCTCTTAATTCAGGGTCTTATCACCCACCCTGTCAAGCCATTCTTCCTCCATATATCCAGTTGCAATCTCTCCTGCTTTGGGTGAAGCCCTAAATACACTTAGGGCAGCTAGGTAGCACCACAGTGGATAGAGTACCAGGCCTGGAGTCAGGAAGATTCATCTTCCTGAGTTTAAATGTGACCTCAGACATTTACTAGCTTTGTGACCCCGGGCGAGTCACTTAACCTTGTTTACCTCAGTTTCCTCATCTGTAAAATAAGCTGGAGATGGAAATGGCAAACCACTCCAGTATCTTGGCCAAGAAAATCCTAAATAGATTTAGACCTTCCCAGACGTAATTATAATAATAACTCACATGTAAATAGTGCTTCACGTTTATGAGACTTTCTCTTGACATCAACCCTGTGAGATAGGCGATCATTGTTCAGCTGTGTCAGACTCTACCTGACGTTCTCTCCTCTTCCCCTGTTAGTTAAATATATTTCCTTGAGGTCAGGGATTGTCTTATTTTTCCTCCTTCTGTTCTCAGAACAGAGGTACCCACAGCGCTGTGCACGCAGTAGATGCTTACTACACATTTGTTCGGTTGAGCTTAATTGAATTGAAAATACATTACATCTGTTCATTGTCTTTCAGAGTCTGTTATTCTGCCATAGAAGGAAATGAAACTGGCCCTATTTATATCAATCCAAACTGACTGCCATGGAAATCCTATTTTCTTTGTCATGGCTACAGATTGATTGATTTTTCTCGTAATATCTTTCCAGTTATTGATGTTACCCTGACCAGCCTGACCTGTGTACTTTGTCCTGCCCGCTTTTTGAAGATAAACATATTTCAATTCAGAAGAAGCGCTTAAATGCCAACCAACTGTGTCCCCGACACTGTGACGTGCACTGGGAGTGCAGAGACCCAGATGAAGCGGTCCTTGCCCCTAGAGCTTATGTGCCACCTGGGGCAGGTGGGGTGTAGGGAACGCAAAATGCGCACAGATTAGCAACTAGAAAATGTGGGCAAACTACATAATTCAGAGTAATTTGGGGGTGAGGGGACACACTGAAGGGAGCTAGGGACTCTAAGAGGTGAAGTGGAGTTGGGAGTCCCCATCTCAGACTACATGGGCGGATGGAAGAGAGCAAGTTGTGTCTGTGAAATTTTAAGATGACCCATTCGGCTGGACGATTGAGCACACAAGGCCCTTTTCTGACACACGGGGGCTTTTAATTCTTCATCTTTTTTCTGAAGAGCAATGGCTCATGGCTCTGCAGTATCATCTGTAAGTTCTTTCATTAACCCAGGGTACCTATCCTCATGATGATTTTTGCATGTGTGAGTCACAGTGTTAAGAGGCAGCAGGGAATAATGGACAAAGAGCAGGCCTTGGAACTGAGAAGACTTGGATTCTGACCCATACTGGCCATGTGACCCTGGATAAGTTATTTGACTTCTCTGTGGTCTGGATGACTTCTAAGAATATGATTTCCAGAGACAGTACGGATGTCCTTTGGTAGAGAATTTCCTCATCTGGGAGTTCCCTATACTGTTTTATAGATTGCTATGAATGTAGCACCAGGCTGGAGTCTGGAAGACCTGAGTTCAAATCCGGCCTTAGACACTTATTAGCTGTTTGACCCTGGGTAAGTCACTTAACCCTGTTTGCCTTAGTGTTTTCATCTATAAAATGAGCTGGAGAAAGAAATGGCAAACCACTTCAGTACCTTTGCCAAGAAAACCCCAAGTGGAGTCATGGAGAGTGGGACACAACTGAAAAAATGCATAGACATGTATATATACAATATGCACATATACATATACATACGCACGTGTATGTATGCATATGCATACATACATGCATGCATTATGCATGCTTACATACACACATATGTCTAATCTGTCCCCTGTCAAGTCCAAATGATACTTACTCCCAATACAGCCCATACCTTCTCTTTCCCTTATTGGATGGCGCAATAGATAGAGCTCCGGCTTTGGAGTCAGGAGGACCTGAGTTCAAATCCAGCCTCAGACACACGATACTTACTAGCTGTGTGACTCTGGGCAAGTCACTTAAACCTGATTGCCTCACCAAAAAAAAAATGGATCATTGTGGCTAAAAAGATTCATAAGCCAGTGACCAGGTTTCAGATGATGTGCCTCGCTGATTTCCCCTCTTTGTGTTTATTAGCTTTGGGCTCCTTCATGTAACATTGCACAGACATTGAGTTCAGTTTCTGACTTAGGAATCATGAATCTGGAACAGGATGTGATCTCAGAGGCCGCTTAGTCTAACCCCCTCATTTTACAAATGAGGAAAGCCTAAGGAGTTTAAGTGACTTGGCCAAGTTTACGCAGATAGTAAATTTCAGAGAGGGGACTTGAACCCAGGTTCTCTGACTCAAAAGCTGGGATGCTCAAGTGCATTTGATACCTAAATCATCAAAGCAAACATCTTGTTTTTGTAGATTTCTCTCTAACAATCCTTGCTTTGTATTTTGACTTTTTTATAAATTGAATGTAGTTTTTTAGAATAATAATAGCTGGCATTTTTATAGAGCTTTAACATATTGCCAAGTGCTTGGCACATTATCTCATTTGTTCCTCACAAATAATGCTAATATTATTCCCATTTTACAGACGAGGAAACAGTTTCTAGAGAGGTTAAGTGACTTGCCCAGAGTTACAAAGTTAGCAGGTGCCTGAGGCAAGATTTGAATTCAGGTTTTCCAGCTGTTTAGCTACTGCACTACCCAGCTGTTTTACTATTTAAGTGCTGGAATGTTGTTTTTTTTACAAAATGAACAGTCAGATGGGCTTCCTCAATAGTTGACCTAAATATCAAAGTTCTACTCTGATGTCTCATCATGGTGTTTAGATGAAGATTATTCTAGCAAAATAAAAAGCTCTAGCAGATTGTACTAATCTGGAAACGCTTTGAGTATGGACCCAATATTTTTGTTCAAAGTCCATCCTTACTTAGTCTGGGAGTCTTGTCATCATAAAGTTGACTGCCAGCCACTGAATGTTTTAATCAGCACCAAGTCATCTACTAAAGTGAAAAGCAGTTACCATGTCAGTGTCTTTGTCAGTCGATCAGTCTGTGTCAATTAATTAGTCACCAAGTAGTCATTAAGTTGTGCCAACCTCTCTGTTATTAGAAGGGTTCACACCAATAAAACTGTTGAAGCTGAAAGTATTGAAGTAAGTGCTCTGGTCATAAACTCTGGCTTCTAGACTTTGAAGATTTCAGCTTTCCTCATGGAAAGCTTTTCCTCATTTCCTTGGCCACTTTACAAAAATGCCTTGATAGCTTGATTCATAATTGGTATCGATTGGCCATGGAGTCATTGGCCTTGGAGTCGGGAAGCTGCCTCTTTGGTTTACTTCCAGTTACTGCCTAAGTACTCAAATCATGAATAGGCAGAAATGAAAGGATGGTTCTCAAAGAATAGAAAAGTGGATGTGAATTATAAGCATGGGATAATAGAAGAAGACAAAGACATTCAGATGTGAGCTGGAAACTCCTTGAAACTAGGGCTGCAATTTGGGAAAATTCTGTAGACACAACAATTCAGTATCAGCCATAGTCCTAATAGAACTGTTCTTGCCCAGACCCTCCTCACCTGCCCCCTTCTTTATCTCTATTCTGACCCTTCTCCAGTTCCTATTTCCTGCCATTACCCAAGTGCTTTGAATGAAGCATAAATCTTATTCTGCTCTTCCTCTACCAAAAATGTACTTTTAGTGATTTCTTGTTGCCTACTGAATAAAGTATGACATTGAGCACTCTTCATAATGTGACTCCAGCCTGTCTTTCCAGCCTTTGTCACAGACCACTCCTCTAGAGGTCCTTTGAGGTCCAACCAGATGGTTGGGTCTTGCGTTAGTTAGCATTTATGTGGTGCTGTGCTAAGCACTTTACAAAGATTATCTCACGTGATTCTTACAACCACCCTGGGAGATAGGTGCTATTATCATCCCCATTTTACAGATGAGGAAATGGAGTTAGAGGTTAAGTGCCTTGCCCAGCATCACATAGCTAGTGTCTGGGGCTGGACTCAGGTCTTCCTTACTCTAGGCTCAACGCTTTTTGCACTACGGCGCCACCCACCTATGTAAAGTCTAACTTTTCCTTCAAGGTCCAGACAAGTGTTAACCATATTCCTGAAGCTTTCTTTGACATCCTCTTTCCCCTTTCTCTTTATTCCCCATGCACTAGGTAAAAGTGAGACCCTCCCCCTCAAATTTCTCCCAGCAGCTTGCCCAGCCCCTCTCTTTTTTTAGTTGTCTGCTGTCTCTTATGTCATAGTTACTTGTGCACATAGAGGTCTTTCTCCCCTAATAGATAATCAACCTCTTTGAGGGCAGGGGCTATTTTGTTTTTTGTTTTGGTCTCCAGCACCAAACATAGTATTTTACACAAATTAGGTGTTTTAATAATCTTTTTTTGTTTAATATTTTATTTTCCTCTCAATTAAATGTAAAAAATTTTTTAACATTCTTTTTTTAAAATTTTGAGTTCCAAATTCTCACCCTTTCTCCTCTCCCTCCACATTGAGAAGGCAAGCAATTTCACTTAGGTTGTACATGGGTAGTCATGCAAAACACATTTCTATGTAAGTCATGCTGTGAAAGAAAACACAGAAAATAAAGAAAAAAGTAAAGAAAAAAAGATCATTGATCTGCAAATAATCATTCCTTAAATTAAACTGATTTGAAAAGGATAAGAAAGAGAGGCCAAGTAAAAGAACTGATGATTGCTTTAGAAATGCAAATATGGGCCAGGAAATGCAATGGATTTGGGAAAAGATGGAGAAAATGTAAAAAAAAAAAAAGGATTAATTGAAGAAGACCTAGAAGAAAAAAAAGCAAGAAAAGACCATCTTTTCTATGCCTCCCTTTTTGTTTTATTTGACCACTAAACCTCCAGCCAGGTGAGTTTCTAATCCTTCTGCTGTTCTCAGTTTTTGAACTGACAGGAAGCACCTTTTTGAGTCCCTAGTGGCTTCCACCTTTTCTTCTGGATCCCACTGTTTGTTTCATTTTTCTAAATTACCAGCATAATTCTGAACCCCGACTGCCCCGGAGGCCTCCATGGTTAAATGCCACTTTCATGTTGATTCACTTGGCTCCTGCACACCTAGAATCCCCCTTCACTGTCTGTAAGGGCCAGTACCAGTTTTTATTTTGCACCTAACTAAAGAATCCACACCTTGTTTGTGTGATTCCTTGCTATTTCCAATCCAGCTCTGCTGTGCTGAGATAATGGGCCTTGTGACTATGTGAATGGATCAAACCAGGAAGAAAGGGCTGGAACCAGCTAAAAGGATTACCTTTCATGGTAGATAGATAGATGGATAGATAGACAGACAGATAGATAGATGGATGGATGGATAGATCGATCATATAGTCTATATGATGTGAGATTAAAGGCTATGATACATGATATATGTGGCATATACCATATACAGTTATATAATAATAGAATCATATATAGTCATATAAATGATAGATTTCAATATAGAGAAGATTTCAATATAGAGAAGATAATGAAAAGCTATATATAATATCTATGTCATATATCAATATAATCATACATATGGAATATACAGTCACAAATTGTGATTGTTTATATAGACATACGTATGTACATGTGTGAATTTGTGTGTGTGTGTGTATATATGTATATATATAGAGAGAGAGAGAGAAGGAAGAGAGACAAGGGGAGTAGGAGAGAGAGAGAAGGAAGAGGAAGAGGAGAAGAGAGGAAAGGAGAGGAAAGGGGAGGGGAAAAGGGGAATAAGAGAGAGAGAGAGAGAGAGAGAGAGAGAGAGAGAGAGAGAGAAAGAATATGAATCGGTTGAATTGTAAGATAAACTCAGCCCTTGCGTGGAAGAGGCTTTTTGATATGGGGGAGGGGAGCTTTTTGGAGGGGGCTGGATGAGGATGCGAGAGGCTAAAGTGGGTACAGCAAAAACCCACAGCTCTTTCTCTGACCAAGAAACCTGCAGCCAAAGCCTTTTTCCATCTGGGGCCAGTGAAAGAGCTGGATTTTGAGTAGCCCTTTGTTTTCCATCAGCTCTCTTAACAGACACAACCCCCTGACTACTGAGGAACTGTAAATAGACTCCTTTTTTAATAAAGTGTCTTCAGACCCTCACGAAGCTGACCCAGTTTTCCAGAGTAAGCATGTTGTGCAGCTGTGGAGGATAAGTGAATCTTTTTTGCAAGCTTAGCTTCTCTGTCCCCAAGCTTTCAGACGGTGCCAAGGAGGAGCTTCGTTTCTTACCCATGGAAGGTCATATTCTACAGGAACTGAGGCTAAGTTGACCTTGCTGGATCCTGAGTCTCGGCTCTGAATAAGACCTATATGGGGAAAATGTTTGGGTTGTTCTAAGATCTTAAATCTTTGTTCAAATGTACTTTCTTTTTAAAAAATTTTTCATTCCTTTTGTTTTTCCATCAACTTGATTCCCCAGTATCACTCTTCCCTCCTCTCTCATCCAGAGAGACATCCTTTACAACAAAGAAGGAAAAAAAAGCAATTGAGAAAAACTAAAGGAGGTGCATTCTCCTGTCTCTTAATTGGGGCAAAGCAGGGCAGGCTGGTAAATGCTTAACAACCAGCTCTCCCAAAAGAACACACTTCTAAGTTTAATTGGCATTGTTAGCACTTTAGCCATCACTTTCTTCTTCTTGTTGTTCAGTCATTTTAGTCATGTCCAGCTCTTCATGACCCCATTTGGGGTTTTCTTGGCAAAGATTTTGGAATGGTTTGCCATTTCCTTCAGCTCATTCTACAGATGAGGAAACTGAAGTAAACAGGTTAAGTAATTTGCCCAGGGTCATACAGGCAGTAAGTGTCTGGGGCCAGATTTGAACTCAGGAAGATCAGTCTGGTGGGGGCAGGGCCCAAGCCAAGATCTTCACCCTTTGCCTCAAAGGGAGTCTGACTCACAGGCCCCAGACCCTCATCTCCCTTTGAAAGCCTTAGGCTCCCTTTTGTCTATAGGCCCCAGAAAGGCCTTCCTTTATCTCCTTTTGAAAGTCCTAGCCCCACCTTGATTTTGTGCAGATGTCTTTCAAACTTCTGCCTTCCTGTTCCCTCCATTATTTATTCCCATTGTCTATTCAATCTCTCTGACCTCCCCAATTAGAATTCTTACCTAGACCCTTTCCCCAACCCCCTTCTCTGGCCACCCAAAGTCACTTTAGTATTTAAGATCCACCCTGGCCCTCATTCAGATGCTGAGAACCTCAGGCCCACAAAGGCTGAGAACCTCTCATGCCCGCTCGTCTTTATGGGCATCACCCAGCTGAGAATCTCATACTCAAAAGGCTGAGAACCTCTCATGCCCGCTTGTCTTTACAGGCGTCACCCAGCTGAGAATCTCTCGTGCCCCAAAGGCTGAGCCTTTCTCATGCCCGCCTGTCCTTATGGGTGTCACCTGGCCTCTGTGATTTATCACTAATAAACTTTTCCTCTGGCTGAAGAAGATTTGAGTTGAATTCATTCAGCAGGGCCCGGTACCGCGATCTTGGGGTCCCAGCACCCCAAAACCCCTAGACCTCTTCAGTTTCAGCTGCAAGTCAGCTGAGAAGACCCCATGGTTCTTAGAATGCAACTGAAAAGCAGGTACTAAGGCAACTTCTTTGATATTATTCCCACTGATGAAACTATATCCATTTTTTGTGGTTGAAACATGTGACAGAACTGAGGATTTTGGTGTCAAGTACTTTTTTTGTAGGGGCAGCGGGGGCAGTGGGATGTGCAGTTTCAGTGGTTGTGGCTCCTGAGGAAGCAGGGGCTGCACCTACAAAGGCATTGCCAAGCTACATCTCGACAAGGGTAGTTAAGCAGTAGACAAGTGGATAGTTAAGAGGACCAGGCTGGAAGCAGGACTGGTGATCTGGGAGATACTGTTATTCCCAGGGTTCTTGGGTTTAGGATCCTAGGGTGTCTCCATCTTGGTCTGAGAGGAGGTGGTGGTTTGACGTACTTGGCACATGTCTTCACCTGTCTCTCCCTCAAGGCATCTTACTGCTGCAGCTAGGCTGGCTTGCCTACCTTGTGGACAGTTCTTACCAAAAAAAAATGTGGTTATGAATATGTTGGTGTATATTGGACCTTTCTATCTTTGGCCTCCTTGGGTATATGCCTAGTGGGATCACTAGATCAAAAGGTATGGACATAAAATATATTTTCAAAGGATTAAAATCTCCATTTTTTCTCTTCTCCTACAGTGTTTTCCTTCACTAAAAAAAGTCCAGTTGCCTTCTCTTAGCAAGCTGCCCTTCAAATCTGTGGATCATAAATTTATGGAAAAGTCCAAGAATCAGTTAAATACATTTTTACAGGTAAGAAAGTGGAACACCTATTGGCTCTAGAGGAAGTATGCATTCTTTTGATTTCCCGCTTTCTTGAATCTAGAACCCAGTAATTTGTTTCCTGGCCTCAGTTGTCCTACTAAGAAGCTAAAAATATTTTTGGTCTGTACCTTGATCAAAAATCCCACTTTTAACAAATCTTGGCCCAAATTCTGTCCCTTGTGTGAGCTCCCAGCAGCCACTGTTTGTATTATCTTATCTGGATCAGCTCCTTTTAGAGGGCTGTGTAACTCAGTGTGCCCAGCTGTCCAAGTCTTAGGAAGGACTCACTGTCGCTACTCATGGAGGGGTGGAATTTTGCCATGGGCGGCAGCACAATGAAATCTTGGGATGCCTGCATTTAATAATGTGCTTTAACAAATCAACATTAATTTCCATGTTGAAGTGTTTTCATTGACTTAGAAACATCAAGCCTAGAAAAATTGGATGGGTTGAAGTGCTTCAGAAGATGATAATGAAGATACTTTTACAATCCCATGTAACTTTACCTCTATAGTTATTGTTGAGTCATTTTTCAGTCCTGTTAATTCTTTGTGACCCCCCATCTGAGGTTCTCTTGGCAAAGATACTGGAGTGGTTTGCCATTTCCTTCTCTATCTCATTTTACAGATGAGGAAACTGAGGCCAACAGAGTTAAGTGACTTGCCCAGAGTCACACAGCTAGTGTCTGAGGCTGAATTTGAACTCAGCAAGATGAGTGTTCCTCACTTCAGGCCCAGTTCTCTATCCAGTCCCTATAGAGAGTCTATCAATTTTTAATAATAATGATTATACAATCTAAAGTTGTCATAAAGTACAAATGCATTTATTTTATTCAGGGGATAAAATAATTATAATCAGTGTAGAGAAAAGAGTCCTGGATTTGGAGTCTTTCAGTCTGGGACCAAATCCTAATAATTCTTTGTGAAAATGGACAATTGATGTAACTTCTCTGGGACCTCAATGTCCTCGTCTGTATAATTAGAGGCTTTTAATGGATGAATTCTGGGATCCCTTCCAGCTCTAAATGATAACTTAGAACTCATCAAGTCCAGTTCCCTTATTTTACAGGAAAGGAAACTGAGGCAAACAAAGGTTATATGATTAGTTCAGGATCACACAAGTACCAAGGGTATAAGACAGGATTCAAATTCAGTGCTTTGTGGAATGGTTCTCGAGTCAGAAGGCCAGGGTTCAAATCTTATTTCTCTTGCTTACTCCCTGTGTGACCTTTACCAGATTACGTAGCTTCCCTGAGTCTTAGTTTCCTCATCTATAAAATGAAGACATTGGACCAGGTAGCCTCTGAGGCCCAGCTTCAGCTCTATGATTTTACAATCTGCAGTATCCATTGTATCACACTGCAGGCCAAATCCATGTATTGTTGGGACATAGAACCTTTTTGAAGCTAGTGAACAGCTAGAGTAGAAGTTATTGATTCTCTATTGCACCGGTAGGAAAAAAAAGGAGACTTTGGTGTTGGGAGACTTTGGCAAAGCCAAAATTCAAGCCTCTGACCAGCTGTATGACCTTGGGAAGAGTTATTTTATTTTTTTAGGGTCTAGTTTTTTCCCTTTAAAATGAGGAGATTGGACCAAGTCTCCTTTAACCTTCTGGAGTTCTGTGATATATAAGAGCTCAAATAAGATAGATCATAGACCTATAAAATGTCAGGACTGGGAGAGACCTTTGGGATCATTTAGCCCAATCCTCTCATTTTACAGATGAAGAAAGAGGCCCAGAGTAGATAAATGACTTGCCTGCATTCACACAGCTAAATGGTGGCAAGGACTGGGATTTAGAACTCAGGTCTCTTAACCTCTGATCCAATGCTCTTTTCAGCTACGTCAGCCTAGATTTTTAAACCTTAAACTTTAAATAGGGCAGCTAGGTGGCACAGTGGATAGAGCCTGGAGTCAAGAAGACCCAGGTTGAAATCTGGCTTCAGACACTTACTAGCTATGTGACCTTGGGCACGTCATTTAACTGTTTGCTTTAGTTTCCTCATCTGCAAAATGAGCTAAAGAAGGACATGGCAAACCACTCCATTATCTTTATTTACCAAGAAAACCCCAAATAGAGTCACAGAGAGTCAGACACGACTGAAAAGACTGAACAATGACAACAGATTTTTAAAATTACCATTCTGTTGCTGTTTTAAAACATCTTAGAAGTATTAAACATATTTGCATGATTGCACATGCATAGTTTCTATCAAATTGCTTATCATCTCAAGGAGGGGAGGGGGTAGGAAGGGAGGGAGAGAATTTGGGACTCAAAATTTAAACAAAAATGAATGTTAAAAATTGTTTTTATATGTAATTGAGAAAAATAATATTCAAAAAAATTAAACCTATTTGAATAGAGTATATGGCTAAATCAGGTAGGTAAATTTAAGGTCTAATCTTTTAAAAGTATATGTTATTGAGATACATGAGATTTTAGATCTCAGTATTTAGCTGTTAATTCCTTATTTCCTTTGCCTTTGTTCTTCTTGTCCCTGCCAGTGAGGGTTCCCCTCACTGTATATTTCCTATTGTAGGACAGACAATCGTCCCTTTTCTGAATGTTTTATCCACTTGTCTGTTGCTTTTATATCTTACTGAAAAATGTAAATGGATGTGAAGCTGTTGTTGAGGCTTAGTTGAAACATGCAAGCCCAGAATGATAACAGTAGCTATCTTATCAAATGAAATGATATTTGTAAAGCATTTAGCACTGTGCCTGGCACATAGTAGTCACTTAATAAATGCTTATTCCTTGTCCCTTCTTGTAAAGCACTTGAAGGTTTGCAGAGCACCTTCCATGCATGATCTCATTTGGTCCTCACAACAGTCTTGTGATGTAGGTACTGGAGTTATTATCCATTTTATAGAGGAAGAAATTGAGGGTCTAAGAGATGAAGTGTCTTTTTCGATGGTCACTTGGTAAGTGCTACAGAGAGAGGATTTGAACCCTAGTCTTTGACTCCAAAGTTGACTATTCCAGGCTCCGTCTCTGTAGCGCTAACATTTAGGTAGCACTTAAAGGTTTGCAATAATTTGTTTGATTTTCCCAACAATCCTTCAGAATAAGCAATTTTATGATTATCCTCATAGATGAGGTAACTGAGGCTGAGAGAAAATATCTGTGTGGGTTCAAATAGTGAGTAAATAGGAGAGGTGAGATCCGAACTCTGGTCACAGGAGCATAGATCTTGAAACCTGGCCGTAGATTCACAAGCATCACATAATCCAAACAAGTGAGGAAACTGAGGCCTCACGAAATTGAGTGTTTTGTCTGAGGTCACGCAGGGAATAAGCATCAGAAGTGAGATAAGAACCTGGGTGATCTGATTCAAGAGTCAGAACTCTGTTCACACTGCCTTCTGCCTTACACATCTTGCTCCAAGTACAAGGCTCCATGGTCTCCATCTAAGAAAGTGCCGTGAGGAAAAGAATAAATTGCAATCCTCAAAGCAGCAAGTTGTAATCCTAGAAAGGGTCTTAATTAGTTTTTTAAATCCAATGGAAGCTGATATTTAAATAGTGCAGTGATTTATTTTTCAAGTGATCCAATTTGAAAATTCAATAAGATCTCATTAATAATGCCCTTCAGTGTCTTACAGATCTGGATACACCACAGATTGAATGATAACTCCCAAACAGCCTAACCACATGGTGGAAGCCTGAAATTCAGGCAGCCTATAAGGCTTGTGTTAGTTCTGTCCCCAGTATCAACAACCCAGAGAAGTTCCTGTGTGTGTGTGTGTGTGTGTGTTGTGTGTGTATGTGATTTGTTTTTTAAGAAGGCTTTTTTTTTCCATTGTGTTAAGACTTTTAGCACCTTGACATCATAGAGCCAGATTTTCAATTGGCTGTATTATTCATGGAAAGAAACTTTGTCTTTTGTCTGAGGACTAGCCCAGCTAAGTTCAGAGAGGCTCATAAACAGAAAGTTGTACAGCCAGGTGATGAGGGATTATTTTCTGTCATAGAAACCCATGAAGACTGTCTGCTAAGGTATGTTGGAGTCATGATCTGTTTCAGGGCTCAGAGCATTCATGCCTTTGAAACCACCAGTCTTTTAAAATTGGTGACTGAAAAGACTCAGAAATATGCACAGCCCCAAATAGAAGATTGTTATATTTGTCTTTGGAGTGTGTGTGTGTGTGTGTGTGTGTGTGTGTGTACTGATGCTTCAATAGGTATAGAACAGACATTCTGAGAATTCACTTTTAACAAAACAGCTATACTTAGTGGGAAGACGATTCACAGAAGTGTCTGAAAATGTGCTCCATTTTCTCCCTCCTGATCCTTGCCCACTTCCTCCCTTAGTGTGAAGGGAACATAGAGTTCATCTCCCAAATAAAAGGCAATGGGCCAAAAGGGTTATCCTGTAAATCCTCCCTTGGAACAGGGTGAGGTATTTGGGTCTCAGAATACATCCCCTCTGGAACATTGGCTGTGTGCAAAAATAGGAGAAAAGAAATTTTTGCAATGCCAGCAAAATAGTTGGAGTTGTGATTCAGCAGTGAGGATTCTAATTGTCCATATGGGGATGAGGCAAGGATGCCATGCATTCCTTAAAAAATGAATGCATCATTTACCTTGGATAACCCAGTTTCAAATAACTGAGACTTGTCTGGGCATTTTTTCTTCAGAGAAGAAGACAAGACTTTAGATTGAGGAGAAAGAAATCATGGATAGGACCATGGATTTAGAGTTTGCCAATTGGTCCAACCTCCTTATTCATAGATGAAGAAACTGAGGTCAAAAGACATTCAGTGACTTGTGCAGACTCACATATGAAACAATATAGGGCTGAGATTCAAAGCCAGTTTCTCTGACTCTCAATCCAGTGCTCCTTCCTCTGCCCTTCCCTGCCTCAATTCCACCTATTTGCTTTCTCTCACAAGTACATGACATGGCAAACATCAACATATTAGATATCTATACAATATACATATAATTACACAGGAGTGACTCTCTTTTTCCTGCAGAAACTGCTATCAGATGAAAGGCTGTGTCAGAGTGAAGCACTTTATGCCTTCTTGAGCCCTTCTCCTGACTACCTCAAGGTTATTGATGTGCAGGGGAAGAAATCCACATTTTCCTTGTCCTCGTTCCTAGAAAGGCTTCCTCGTGATTTCTTCTCCCATCAAGAGGTGAGTACTGGGAGTCTGAATGCTTCTTCACACAGAACTCTGGTTGACCTTTCAAAACACAGGGTTAAATCAAATGACTCTTTCCTTCTGCTTGTGGCTTTCCATGTATTAGACAATCATTTCCAGCCTTCAGAGAGCTCACATTTTAAGTAAATTAGATGGGGCAGACCCAGTTCTGTCCATATTGGGCAGCTAGGTGATGTAGTGGATAGAGTGCTGGGTCTGGAGTCAGGAAGACTCATCTTTGTGAGTTCAAATCTGACCTCAGACACTTACTAGCTGTGTGACCCTGGGCAGGTCATTTAACCCTGTTTGCCTCAGTTTCTTCATATGTAAAATGAGTGGAGAAGGAAATGACAAACCACTCCAGTATCTTTGCCAAGAAAACCCCAAATGGGGTCATGAAGAATCAGACAGGACTGAAATGATTGAACAACAGTAGACCAAGTTCATTTGTAGAGATACATCTGAAGTAATAAAACTTCATCAAAGATACCCTATTAATGAGAAATGTTGGTGCTGCTTCCACCAGGGAGACTTTATTGATGTTCTGACTTTAACACGCATGACCTTCCTTACCAAGCAGCAACAGGAGTAATCACTTGTTCAGCACCTACTTGTGGACAGCACCATGCTAGCTGTTAAGGAAAGATCAACAGACAAAGAAAAAGACTGACTTAGCATTACCATAATCTAGCCATATGGCCTTGAGCCAGTCCTGTAATTACTCTGGGATTTAGTTTCCTCATTTTAAAAATGAGTATAATAATGCTGACACTATCTATTTCTTAAAGTATTTGTGAGAAAAGTGCTGCGTAAACAGTAAAAACTTATGGAAATGTTTGTTGTTGTTACATGTTGTATATCAGATGAGGGACCTAGCATAGTGTTAGAGAGCTGGTCCTATGGTCAGGAAGACTTGGATTCGAGTCCCACCTTTGACACGTATTGGTTATATGATTCTGTGCTAGTAATTTATCTCCTTTGTGCCTGTCTATGATGTAAAAGGAATTTCCCCACTGGGAATTCACTATGCCAATAAGATGATAAATATGTGTTTAATAAAAAGGACAGGCTAGTAGTATATAAAATATATGCTTTAGGAATTTAGGGGAAGGAGTTGGTACTGAGGACCCAGAATAATCAGGGAAGTCTTTCACGGAGGAAAGAAAACTTAAGCTGCTTTTTTGAAGTGTGATAAAATTTGGACTAAATGTAGAGGAAAGTAGAGCACACTCCAAGGAGGCAAAGGTGTGGAAATAAGCTTGCATGTGGAATATTCAGGGAATAATGAGTTTCTTTGACTGAAGTTCATATAGGGAAGTAGTAGGGGAAAAATGTTATAGCAGAGGACCTTGAATCCAATCCAATCCACTAAATATTTATTAAGGACTATTATGTGCTAGGCACTGTGCTAAGCACTGGGGATACAATTAATAATAAAATAAAAAAAAAAAGACAGTCCCTGCCCTCAAGGATCTTATAACCTCATGGTGGAGAGGAGAGAGATAGCACACAAAAGGAGGGAGGAAAGCAGTAGAGAGGGAGAGACCAGGGGGTACTTAGCACAGGAGCATTGTTTTCTGTGAGGTTGAAACCAGAAAAGAAACAAGCGTAGAGAGAAGTGGACCAAAAAGCCCAGTTTCTGTCATCTGTAAAGGAAGGCGTTGGGAGAAGTTTGGTACTCTGCCCTCCAGGCCTCCAGTCAGAGGGGAGAAGGGGATGAGGGATGTGGTACCACTCAATGCTTGAGTTAACAGCCTGGTCATGAGATTAGAAGTGCTAGCTTATCCTGGGAAGGACTTCTTGTTCTGTGGAGCTGAAACCAGGCAGAGCAGCAGACGCAGAGTGGAGTAGAGAACACCAGACTGTGGAGTATGACTTTTATGCTCTAATAGGGAGGCATTGACAACTTTTGAGTAGAAAGGAGAGAAAGGTTGGCACGTGTAAAACTGTACTTTGTAAAGATAGAGCTGACCTTAGGTGGTACAGTGGAGAGATTGCTGAACCTGGAGTTCCAGAAGACCTGAGTTCAAATCCATCCTTAGACACTTAAGAGTTGTGTGACCCTGAGCAAGTCATTTAACTTTTGTGTGCCTCAGTTTTCTCAGCTGTAGATGATAATAGCACCAACCTCCCAGGGTTGTTGTAAAGATCTAATACGATAATATTTGGTAAGAGCTTTGCAAAGCTTAAATTATTATACAAAGGTTAGCTGTTATTGCTGTTGTTATCATTATTATTATTATGGGAAGAGATCAGAGTCAGGGACAGCAGGTACTACATAGTCTAGTTACCATGTTTGACCTTTCAGTAAATTACTGCCTTGTCTTTAAGCCAATGGAGTACTTCCCTTCCACCCTCCCCCAGCTCTTACTATAGTAGATAAGCCATGTGGCATCTCTTCTGAAAGCCATCCTCCTTCCCCTCTTCCCTTTCTACCATCAGGCTGGACTGAATCTGTTTTGACAGAAAGATCTGGAAGTGAGAAGCAGTTCTCACGCAGTAATTTTATGATCCCAGAGAAGAATTCACAGTATGGCATTAGAAAGTGTACACACATGTGTTCCAGCCCATATGCAGAAACCAGCCCTTCTGCCTATAAATGAACACAGCCTCTGGTGCCGGGAAAGCTTGAGTCATGGCTTAAAAAACAATGAAGTTAATTTGAAAACACTTTGTATTGAGTTGAAAAACACTGAGTTCAAAACCAGTTGAATTTTCCAAAATCTTATGGTGCTTTTGTCCTCAACTGTATGAAAGTAATTTTTAATTTTATTGTTATTAATCCCCTGACTTAATTCCACAGGACTTTTAAAATTACCTTAATTACTTTGATCCTTGAATCAAATTTTTTTTAAATCACAGTAAGAACAAGCATTTCTATAGTGCTTTACTAATTTTGTCTCCCTTGATCCTCACAGCAACCAGGAGGTAGGCATTGTGATTATCCCCATTGTATATAGATGAAGATACTGAAGCAAACAGAGGTTAAGTGATTTGACCTGGGTTACATAGCTGGGGCAGCTAGGTGGTGCAGAGGATAGGATACTGTGCCTGAAGTCAAGAAGATCCATCTTCCTGAGTTCAAATCTGACCTCAGGTACAACTAGCTGTGTGACCTTGGCAAATCACTTAACCCTGTTTGCCTCAGTTCCTCATCTGTAAAATGAGCTGGAGAAGGAAATGGCAAACCACTCAAGTGTCTTTGCCAAGAAAAACCCCAAGGGGGTTGCAAAGAGTTGGGCACGACTGAAACAACTGAATGATAACGATGACAGTACACAACAAGGAAGTGTCTGAGGCTAGATTCGAACTTAGGTTTTTCTGACTCCAGGTCTAGTGCTCTATCTTATCCACCTGCCTACCCTTTTGCAAATTAGCAAGTTTCTGCCTGTGTGAAAAAGGGAGGCTTCTTTTCTGGAGAGCTTCCACTTGAGTACCTCAAAGATTATGATTTTATACTTGGAAGTGAGTGGTCCTTCTGCTGGTGCAGGTCCTAACCCCTTTGTGCCTCAGTGGATGCCCTTAGTGACTTGCTGTGGCCAAAAGACTTCATCCCCCCAGTGTCCATATTCCTCCTGATGAGCCTTGCTGAACTTAGCCAGGCTGGTCGGCTGGTCCTCAGCTCCAAACCCTGTTGTTCTGTCCATCTCTGAGAACTCTTCAGCTTTGTAGGACCCCTCAAAGCTTGCTCTCTCCTGACCTATCTCTGTGCCACCATGAGGCAGTGGAGAAAGATGTCCACAGAGTTGATCATCTGGTTCGATCTCCTCACTTTACATTTGACGAAATTGAAGCCCAGAGACATGAAGGAATTTGTCCAATGTCATAGAGGTCATGAGTACCAGAACTGGGACTCAAACGCAGCCCTTCCAACACTAACTCCAGGTTTCTTTCCCGTTATACTACATCGTACCGCTTTGTCTTGACTTTAGTGGAAGCTACAGAATAAACTGTGGGCAAACAGTAAGGAATTCAAAATGTAGGAAGCTACATAGATACATTTATTCCCATCCATGAGTAATTGTTTACCTGTGATCTTACTGTATCCCCAGGAGGAGACAGAAGAAGATAGTGACCTGTCAGACTATGGTGATGATGTAGATGGGAAGAAGGATGCTTTGGCTGAGCCGTGTTTCATGCTGATCGGGGAGATATTTGAGCTTCGAGGAAGTAAGCTTCTTGCTTCGTACATAGTAGATGCTGGTAGTTGAGATAATTTTAAAATAAAAAATCCAAAATTCCGTTGATTCTTGGATGAAACTAGTTGATTTTTTGCATCAAGAAGCTCTGATTTTCTTAGAATCCTATTCTGAATGGCAGAAACAAAAGAGTGCTTTGATTTTCAGGGCTATAAGTAGAGAGGTTTTTTTTCTGGGTTATATGAAGATTAATAATACAAAAACATAGGATACAAATACATATCTACTAAAATTTATTTTTAAACTAATTTAAAGGTCACTTGACACTTACTAGCTGTGTGACCCTGGGCAAATCACTTAACCCCAATTGCCTAAAAAACGAAAACAAACAAAAACAATAAGCTAATTTAAAGGTTTCTGGGATTGTTGTGTCTGAAGTGATACTTTATTGAGTACTCATGTTTTTCATTCTTACTCTGTGAAATGACCAAGACACTAAAGTCCTGCTCTGATTCAGTCCCACGGTGACTTTGAGTCCTCAGATGTTATGTCAGTAAGCTCTAGGAGGTCATAGCAAGCTAAAAAGGCTTTGATTGTGGACTCCATGATAGACTGTGTCTACTATTTGAGGATCTGTCTAGGTAGAAATGGAAAAACCCAGCACCGAGAGGTGGCCATAGAGTGATAGATTTCTTTGGCCTCAGCAATAAATGAAAACTACCTACTGAAGTGTGGAGGGGCTGTGACGTGGAGACAGGACCCATACAAACAAAATTGTCAATCTCTAAGCAAGCCAGAGCATTCTATAGATAAAACAGCAAGTAAAGACTGAGCAGATGTGCACATAGGTACGCAGCATAATTATAGGCACAATGGCGGATATGATAGAATATGAGCTATGTAGCTTCTGCCTTGTAGGAACAACCATTCTATTCAAATCCAGCTCATTCATTTAATTCAACAACCTTTCATTAAATGCCTTTCCTGTGCACTGCCCTGGATTAGGTCTGGGGGGAGATACAGTAATAAATAAGCCTTATTTCCTAAGGATGTAGATGATGCAATCTGGGAAGTGGAAGGATGTAGATAGGAATAACCATAATGTCAAATAACATATTGAGGGCGAACATAAGAGGGGTACTAAGTCCAAGCTAAAGAGATAACGCCAATGTATATTAAATGCTGAGAGAACAAAGAATTGTCAAACTGTGTGACATGAGCATTATGATGAAAGTAATGGGTGAGGTTCAAAGAAAGGAAAGATCAGCATAGACTAAAAGAGGTAGAACAGTTTCATGGACTTCACAGAGCTTAAAAGGTCTGCAGGGGTCAATTGGCTAGTCTTAACAAGAACTTGTTAAATGCCTGCTATATTTCTATAGAACAGGAATTGTACCAGGTGTTGGGGAGACAGGCAAAAAGAAGCTGTACTTGCCCTCAAGGAACTTACATTCCATTCAATGTAAGGATGAGTAGCCTTTGGATAGAGAGAGGGAAGGGCATGGTAATGTTTGGCAGAGGTACACTGGGAGTTAGTCCAATTAAATTACAGTAGGGGCAAAAATATAATAAAGATAATGCTGATCATTCATATGGCACTGAAGAGAATAATGATGGAAAAAGTGGTCAAATTGGATCAGGTATAGCTAGAAAAGAGTTTTACTGAATATGATTCAATTAATGGAGCACTGAGGTACCAATTAGAAGGTAGCAAAAGGAGATGTCAAAGGCATGAAAAAAATGTTAAATGTTATTTATACCCCAAAGAGTGACTAAGAAAACAATAACAGCTAAAGACCTAAATGTCTACTGTCTCATCTTTATTTATAATGTTGTTTCATGTGTGTGTGTGTGTGTGTGTGTGTGTGTGTATAAAATATAGATTGAGTGCATCTTTGATGAAGGCATTAGTAGGGAACAAGCAGGCTTTTGGGAACTATATTCAACAATCTAATACCTCACAATTGACTGAAAGATGTAGAGAGCATAAGATCCCATCATGCTTGTTTGTTGATTATGAAAAAAGAATTCAAGTGACTCAATTGGACAAAACAGTAATTTACAGCCTCTTTTACACCAGGATATCTCCCATCTCTAGATCAAGATCAATCAGGATTATTTGGAAGGTATAACAAAAACAACCTTTGTTTTCTCAGTGCTTATGAACAGTTCCTGGCACATAATTTGTGTTTATTGACTTATTGATTGTTTGATGACCTACTGATAATAAATACCAAGTGAGACATAAATAGAGAGATGTTCACCAAAAGTATTTACCACATCAATGGAGGAGAACCAGCATAAAGTCCAGGCCAAAGAGAGATTCCCTATGGCTGGTTAGATGTGGATGACATTGTGCTGATTACATTAAGCCCAAAGACATTGCAGAGTGTCCTGGGAAAGATTCAGAATCACTGAATGGAGGTTGGCCTAACCATCCACACAGGAAAGACTAAATGGATGAAGAATGTCAGATTTCAACCCTATAGAGGCTGTCCAACAGTATGTACATTTAGGATGGACAGTAGGAATTGTGGACAGAGTTGAAAAGGAGTTGGTGAAAGTGCTGGATTCTTTTTAGGAAATTCCAAATTGTTTCCTGACCCCAAGCAGTTGATCCCATCAATAACAGCAAAGGCCCCATCTTTTCAAAACAGGCATCTTAATGGTGCTACAGTTTTAGCAATGAGACCTGGAGTACCACTATCTCTCCAAGCATCACCCAGAGGGCAGAGAAAAGGCCCAAGAAGGAGATAAACAGATCCTAACATATAACCGAAGACGGGAGTAAATAGAAAGCAAGGACTCATCAAGGCACTGTATGACAGAAAGAGAAGATGGGCTACTCACGTATTAAGAATGACAAGTAGATGTCTAAAGGGCACCACTGGTGACCTCACAGTGTGGGGAGAAAGTAAAGAAGGTCTCTGGAATGTTGGGTGGACATGGACGTGGGTCACATGGTGGATCAGGTGTGGGTGACTTAAGATCTGTGTCGCCAAAGGGAATCTGGAATCAGTGAGATCACCGATCCATTTGACTAAGAACCATTCACATTTCTATAGTACACCAAGATTTACAAAGTTCACTTTCCACGATAGCCCTGGGAGGTGAGTAGCACAATTGTTAGTGTCTGTATATTACAGATAAGGAGATGGAGGATCAGAGAAGTGAAATAATAATAATTATAATAATAATAACTAGCCTTTATATAGCACTTCAAGGTTGGCAAATCACTTCACAAGTCTTATTTCATTTAATCCTCACAACAACCCTGGAAGCTAGGTTCTATTTTTATCCCCATTTTACAGATGAAGAACTGATGCAGGCAGAGGTTAAGTGTCATGCCAGGGTCACACAGGTAGTAAATATCAGAGGTGAAATTTGAACTCAAGTCTCCTTGACTCTAGGTCCAGCTTTCTATTCCTCGTGCCACCTAGAAATGACTTATCCAAGGTCACATACCTTTTTTTTTTTTTTTGGCTAGGCAATGGGGTTAAGTGACTTGCCCAGGGTCACACAGCTAGTTAAGTGTCAAGTGTGTGAGGCCAGATTTGAACTCAGGTCCTCCTGACTCCACGGCTGATGCTCTATCCACTGTACCACCTAGCTGTCCCTGTCACATACCTGTATCAAGGATATTGGTGAGGCTAGAGCATTCCAGGTGAATAGCTGTTTGCCTCCATGTATTTGCATTTTCTGGTCACAGAAGGTATAATTTGTTAAATAGAACCAGAACTATGTGAAACAGTTAATGTTCCCCATCCTTCTTTCCCAAACTGTACATTTTATGCTCAAAGTCCAACCCAAGGAAACTTCATGAATCCTCTTGACACAAACTATTATAATGTGGGTTTTTGTTTTGTCATATTTTTGTCTATTTGTTTTTAAAGCCAGGAAAGATGATAGATCTTTTCTTGAGATAGAGAAGATGAAGTGACTTTGCCTCAGACAAACAACATGCCAGGGAAAGAACTCAATAGAACACCATCTTTCCATTTGCATACTTGGATATCTGCTTCCAACATTTCAGGAGAAAATAAATAGAGTTCTTTAGTCCAAAGAATTTCACCATCAACAATGTTTTGTCATAGCTGCAACAACAGCTTTGTTAAGACAGCTCAGGCCTGGGGCCAGTGGGGAGGGGAGGAAGGAGGGAGCAGGGAGACATTTTTCATGCTCCACGTTGGGGAAGGGAGAGGAGGAAGCAGGCCAGAAAGGGGGAGGAGCTGATTGAGTCATTGCAGTCGGGGACCCTCACTTTTGTCATTTTATCCCCAGTGTCTCACATATAGTTAGTCCTCAGTAGGTGCTTGCTGATGGACTGATTTCTTAGGTCAGAAGGACAGAAAGGGGTCACTATAACTGTCTTCTTTGCAGATAATGAAGCATATTAGATATTATTTGTTGAGTGCAAATCTTCTTAAATCCTCTAAGGATCATCTCTTTCTCTCTCCCCTTCTCTTGCCCTAGAAAGGCACAGGAAGATTGTTAATTATCCCTGACAGACATATTCCTCACATGGCCCCATTTTTTTTTTGTCAATTTAGAAGTGTCCAGCTCCTTATTACTACATTTGGGGTTTTCTTGGCAGAGATATTGGAGTGATTTGCCATTTCCCTCTCCAGTTCATTTTATAGATAAGGAAACTGAGGCAAACAGGGTTCAGTGATTTTCCCAGGGTCACATAGCTAGTAAGTGTCTGAGGTTGGATTTGAACTCAGATCCTCCCAACTCTAGGGCCAGCCCTCTATGCACTATACCACCCAGCTGCCCCCTACATGGCCCCCAGGTCATCCCCCAAATGAATAGATCTCTATAATGCCAGTGTATTTCTGAATTCTAGCCAATTTTCTGGTATTTTTGAAGAACACAGTTGTCTGGGAGACTGGGCCTTTTTAGAAGAAATCATCTTTATTGTGGGGTTTTTTTGTATGATAATTACTCATTGCTTCCCACCTTTCACTCCATCCCCTCGCCCCCATCTTAGAATCCTAATACAAAATCTTCATGAATCCACTGAACTGCAGAGTTGAAAATAGACTCAGAAGCCTTAGAGCATAAGATTTCGAGCTGGAAGAAACTTTACTTCCCTAGTCCAGCTTTGAGAGGTCAACTGCCAAAGTCACCTAGGTAGCAGACCCAGGATTCAAATTCAGATTCGTAAGAATTAGAACTGGAAAGATCTGAAAGGGGGTATAGAATCCACTTAGTCTAACCCCATTATTCAACACATTAAATAATGAAGGCTCAGGAAAGCTAAATAATATGCTCTGTCACACAGGTAACATGTAACAGTGGGGATTTTAGCCTGGGTTCTCTGACTCTAAATCCTTTGCTATTCCAGTCAAATTAACGTCATCTCGAGTTTCTGCTGTATTAATTCTACCATGTAATTAATTTTATGGCTACCTGCTAAAGAGGGAACAGATGGTTTACAGCCCCAAATACTGCAGAAAGCTTTTTTAAAAAGCATGTAGGTTGATTAAAAAAAAACCATCAGATTTCATCCATGAAATGCCATTGGACACATTGGTAAGAACAGTTGGATCACTTATCGTTAACTCTTCCACAGTGATCTATTAATAACAACAACAACAACAACAACTACAATAATAGTAAAACTCTCTGTTTCTTAGTTAAGGGAATCTAGGTATCAGGTAAGCAGGTGGGAGTCATAAGGGATGATGTGTGGTAAATACAAAGACTCAGGGGACTCAAGAAGTCCATGCCCCTCAATTGAGAGGTACCCTAGGACCAAATATTATCTGACTCAGTCCCTGAAGAGGGAATCTTTTTGTAGCATTCCAGACAAGTGGTCATCCACCCTTAAGAACTCCAGTGCAAGAAACCCCAATGCTTCTTTTTAAAAAAATGTTTTTAATCAATGAAAATCTATGTTCTCTCCTTCTCACGTACCTATCCCCTTTTGAAAAGAAAGAAAAACAAGCATGGATAGTCAAGCAAACTAAATCCCTGTTGTTGGTTATGTTCAAAAAATGTATGTCTCATCTGCCTTCTTGAGTCCATCATCTGTCTATAGGAGGTGGGTAGCATGTTTCATCATGAGTCATCTGGAATCACAGATGGTCATTGCATTGATCAGAGTTTATATATCTTTCAGAGTTAAAACTCACTCCCTGTCAAGGAGTTTGCCTGTGACTCTGATAGAGTGGAGTCTACAGCAAACATATAGCCTCTCCATATCTGAAGAACACTCATACACAAAACCCATTTGGCAGGCCTCTCCCCAGTGTAAGGAGAACTAGTGTTGGCTATGGGGAAAAGGAATATATGGGCTTTATTAGATTTGTGCTGTGCTCTGGTTTGGCAGTGGGAGAAGGTCATATTTGGCCTTGATTAGAGAAAGCCAGAGCCGATTCTTCATTTGACCTTTTGAACTTTATGGAGTAAAACACATATAGAAAATGTTTCACGGTGATTTCATCCAGGGCTTCCATAGTTTGCAGTTTTTTTTTTCTAGCTTTACTATGCAAATTGGAACAGTGGTAAAACAGTCCTTTCTTAGACCATGCTGTAATGAGAGCTGGCTGTTCAGCCCATGTTTATATTCTACTTATGAAAAGATGGAAGTGGAGTGGATGGTTGTTTTCTTAACTGTCATATTTAAATAGCTGCTTGCACCCACCTGTGGAACACAGCACAGCCTGCTGGATGAGACCAATAATTGCTCGATAAAGTCTGAACTTAACCATCCACCCAGAAAGAACCAAGGGGATGAAGACTGGCTTTTGTTTGGACTATGATATACAGTTAGCTAGAAAATCATCAATCAGTATATATACCTTGGACAGACATTGCAAATGACCAATGAGTTGGGCCCAGACTCGAAATGAAAGAAGAGAGTGGGATTGCCTTTAGGAAATCACAAAGGCCTTTTAATGGTCCCAGACTTCTCTGTGAAAGAAATGCCACTTCTGTTGTAAAAGGTTTCCTTAATTTGCCAGCCAGAAGTGACAATTCCCTCCTCTGAATTCTATACCTCTCTCACCTTTCATATTCACATCATAACCTTTAATACAAGGTTATACAAGTTATATATTACATACACATATATGATTGTTATTTGTCATTTTCGAAGAGGACCAGTGACAACACAAGGTGATATCTTAACTCATGTGTGAATTGGATTTAAGTGAGGCAGAGTTGCACAAAATCATTAGTCTTACTCTCTCTTCCTGATTCATCAAAATCCACTGGCAAGACAAAAATCAAGACAACTGGTGATAGCCTGGGATTCAGCGGATGACCTTGGTGTCTTCATGTCTGACGAGGCTCTAAGCACTCCACAGAGCCTGCCTCAGCCACTTTCATGGCTGTTGGAACAAATTGTTCTCATCTTCCCATTTCACAGGCGGAAGTCTTACACGTATATAATATGTGTATAGAATGTATGTATATATATATACACATATATATATGATATGTGCTTACATATATACAGATATGTGTGTGTGTATCCATATACACATTTTTTAGGGAGAGAGAAGAGGCAGCATGTGTCAGACAAGGCAAACCTCTACTAATACCTCAACTGCCACAAACCCTCAAACCCTGATGGCGACACCTAAGATCCTGAACCCAAGAGCCTTGGGAATGGTGATGCTTCCAGACCAGTGTCCTCGGGCATCATCCTGGGAAGTGACCCCTTTGGAGATACAGCCTGGGAACTTCTCCTGCAGGTGCTACAGCCAGATCTACTGAACACCCAGAAAGGAAAGTTCTTGCCACCAAAGTCCTTGGTGCTGACAGATGGTTCAACCTCAGAAACTGATATGATTCTATCAGTGGAAGTGACATTTAAAAAGAAATATTAGCAGCTGTTTTTCCACTGTACCCTGAGGACCATGTGACTTTTCCATCTGACTCATAGTTGAAACCTTTTGTGTCTCTTGTCTTCCCCATTATAATGTGAGCTCCTTGAGGGTAGGGACTGTCTGTATTTTCTATTTCTGTTCTCAGTGCTTTGCATATAGTAGGCACTTAATGATTTATTTGTTTACACATACATATACACTCACAAATAAGTGTTACATGAAGTAGGATGGGCAAAAAGAGAGAGTGGCTAATATTTTTTTTTGTAGTAACATTACACAAACTTAAAGTCTGTGTAGATATTTTAATAGGCATAAAGTTTAAAGAAGACACAGCCTCTGCCCTCATGGAACTTACAATCTAGTTGGAGGGTAAGATGCAAACATAAGCAGGTATGTAATCCATAGCACTGTTGTAAGGAAAAGTTGCTGCAAAAATCAAGAGTGTTTGTTTATTGATTGACCTATTTGGCCTCACTTGATGCTGGAACAGCTAGGCTAGGTCGAGCAAACAGGGAGGGAGGTGAACAAATCTGGAATCTATCTATGTAGTTGTAGGAAATGCACGAGTGTCATGCCATCTTGTGATCATGCCTTATCCTGATTTTTTTCCAGTGTTTAAGTGGGTGAGAAGGACACTAATTGCGCTAGTCCAAGTCACTTTTGGAAGAACGATCAACAAGTGAGTAGTAACTGCTTTGATGTGGATGTGAAATTTATGAGATCAGCATGGTACACTGGAAGGGGCACTGACTCTGGAGTTGGAGGGCCTGGGTTCAAAGCCTGCTTGCTGCCCGCATGATCCTGGGAAAGTCCCTTAAACTCTCTAGGCCTTGGTTTCCTCATCAGTGAAAATAAGGAGTTAGATTTGAGAGTCTCTGAGATCTTTTCCAGCTCTAAACCCAAGATGTTATGATCCTGTGATGCCCTGTTCTGTGCCTACACAGGCTGCTTAATTTATGGGACAATCATATATGGCCCCAGGCACTGATAGAAAGTTAGACCTAGAAAGAACCTTAGAAATTAGCTAGTCCTAACTTTTATATAACACCCTCAGCAAAGTATCTATCCTGTCTTTACTTGACTACCTCCACTGATGGGGGCTCATTTTTCCCTAAGGAAGCCCATTCCACTTTTGGACAGCTCTAAATGTTGGGAAATTTTTCTTTATATAAAGCCAAAATTTGCCTCTCTGTAACTTCCACCCTTGCTCCTCATTCTGCCCTCTGGTGCCAAGTCTTTCTTCTGCCTGAAAGCACTTCAGATTCCCTAAGGCTGCTGTCATTATCTGTACTGTCTTTTTTTCCTCCAAGCCAAGTCTCCTCAGTTCTTTTACTCATTCTCACATGGTTGTAAGTTCCTTTGTTACTCTAGTTGCCTGTTCCAGCTAGTGTGTACGCGGGTCATATTTCTGAAAATATTGGACCCAGAACTGAACCCAGTAGTTCAGATGTCATCCAATCAAAGCAGTGTGACTCATTTTTCTAGAGAATACAGTCTAAGAGGAGTTAACAACCACCCCAAGGGCCTTCCCTCGCTTACATCTATTAATTTCATCATTTCTCTGTTCACTGTGCTAACCAGTGGTCACCGTTTATAGCAGGAACAGCATGCTACTCCTTCCCCTCATGCAAGTCAGGCTAGTTTTTCCTTAAAAGGTATGAGGATGTTACTCAAGACTTGGGTTAGTTCACAGGACTCGGGGCTCAGACTGTTGACATCCCTTCCTCGTTTTCTGTGTGCAAAGCTTCCATGAAGAGCATCAGGGGAGATCTGATTCTTGCCTGGTGGTTCACAGCAGAATGAGTGGGATCCTCAATTTATAGCCTTTTTGAATATCCTTCTCCTGCTATGGCTAGGTAAATCTCTTTTTCATTAACTGTTGAATGACCTACAAGTATTTCATTCTGTTTCAGTATCAAACCTAAATGACCAAGGGACTGGCTTTGAGTCAGGCCCAGCTGGGAACACCTTTGCTTCTTCAGTTGGTTTCAACTCATAAAATCTTCGGTCTTGAAGGGGTTGCGATCTGTGTCTACATCATGGAAGGGTTGTGATATGGTTAAATGGAGCGAGAACACACACTGTTGAAAACAGTCATGTCTACAATCAGCTGTTCTTTCTTCAGTCCTCACTGAGTTCCTAGAACTTTGCCGTTGTAATTTGTGTATGTCATAAGCTGTTGTGGGTATAGCCATTCACCCACCTGTTCCACTTTCATTTGTTCCTATTTTATGCACTGGGGAGACAACAAAGTCTAGCTAATCCATAGTCTGTCCTAATGGAGTTACACTGTCTAATAAAATTAAGAAGTACGTATTTCATATAGTTTTATTTTACGGGGAAGAGATTGAGGAGCTTTAGTCAAAGATCGTCTCCATTCTGGCCTCCTAAAATGTTAGTCGAAGAAGCAGCTTTTGGGGGGTTCTGTGTTCCTATTCTTCATCGTCCCCAGAGATCTCTGTCATCAGTTAATTTTTGTTCCTAGAATGTAATGGCATTAAGCATAGTTTTGATATTATGTAAGAAGAGAGGATGGTTTGGATAAAATACATTCCTTTAGATGACATTTATTTATGATGCTTTAGTAAAAGGTCTTTTTTTAAGTGCCTCTATATTCAAAATTTAAATCTTTCATGAGACTTGAAAATATGACCTTCTCCAGAATCGAAGTGTGATTCAGATGCCAAAAATGCAATGGGATTGATTCTGAAGAGCAAAGAAATACTTTATAATCTTAAAATAGAATGGCATTTTGTGGTGAAATTAATTATTTCCAGTTAAATGTCAGTTCATACTTGCTACTTAGATATATGGATGTAATTAGAAGAAATATGGCAAATTTTTATATATTGAAATGAGCAGAAAAGGACATTTTCTTTTCATTATATTGCATTGAATATACTTGATTCATTCATTTATGCATGAATTTAATGTGTCTAGTCAGTGCCAGGCACTGTACTAGGTTTTAGGAATACAGTAACAAAAAATGATACCTTCCTTCAAGGAGTTTGCATTCTTCTTTATCCTATAATGCTTCAAAAAAAGTCATGAATTCATCAGTGTGGCTACTTCCTGCAATGACATAGCCCCTTCTTACCATGGCAGACAGTTTCAGGCTAGTGTTAGCCCCTGCCCCCACTCTCAGTAATCATTGCCTGGTGGCCAACTCTCTGATGATGAATGTCCCTACATCTAGCTAGATCGGTCCATGGGTGACAGAGCAGTCATGGTGGAGAGCTTGAAGCGTGTAGACTAAGTATCTCTTAAGGTGTAAGATGGATCCATAACACCTAAGACCTTTAAATCAAGTCTGAGGCTTGAAGCCTTTCCACCTTTACCCTCCAACACCTGTGCCCCACTGGCATAGCCTCAAGGACCTATGATTACCTCTGCTCTGTGAAGAGAGGAGGAGGAAATAGCTCTAGTGATTTAATTATATTTGGGGGTTCCCATACTTTTATAGTAGAAAAATCTGAGTTTTAGAATTATGTCAGATAAAAGATTTGCCCACCTCTCAGGAAGCACTTTTGTTTTCAGTCTGCTGGGGCAAACTATTTTGCTTTAGTTACTGACCTTAGGCCTTGGGAAAAGAGATTTCTTTTTCCAAGCCTTCAGAAGCTGCCCATTTCTCTTCCCATTTTAGCTTCAGTAAATGATGAAACACACCTAGTTCGAATACCAAATAATGGCACACACATTCTTAGGGCACTCTTGGGTTTACAAAGTGCTTTTCTCCCAAAAAGCAACCTCATAAAGTGGATAGTGGAAGGGGAGGGTAACTCTCTCCTTATTTTCAGATGAAAAAACTGAATTTACAGGTTAAATAATTGGTCTGAGTTCACATAGTAAGTATTATAGCCAGCTCTCTATTTCAGTCCTTGTGATGTTAAAACCAGTAATTTTTTTTCATATGTATATAATTGGTCCAATTAGAATTTATTGGTGTGTGGATCTAGCTAATCATCTCAATAGTTTTGATTAAATAATGATTCTATTCCTCATTTTTTTTTGGTCTTGGTACCAATCTCCCTTATACTACGGAGTCTATTTCTGGGTTCTCTCTTCTGTTCTATTGACTTTTTTTTCCTGTATTTCCCATAACACATAGCTTTTATAATTATTGTTCCTTAATACATCTTGAAGCCTGGGAGGCTATTGACTATGTTAAATTTCTTGCTGATTACTTCTGTTGCTATTTATTGTCTTCTGACTTTATTGTTTATATTGGTAATTTCCCCCAGTATTTTCTTCTGATCACTGTAAACCACTTTTAATTCTAGCATGAGTTCCTCTTGTGATATTTTAACTGCTGCAAGCACCCCTTTTGTTCTCCTATCTTGATTTTCTGTGAATCTAAGTAGGCACAAATAAACAATAATATTAATAGCTAACGCTTATATACAGCTTTAATGTTCACAGACTGCTTTACAGCCCTCATCTTGGTGAAGCCGCACAACAGTCCTCTGAGGCTGTTACTACAGGAATTATTATCCCCATATTATAGATGAGGAAACTTTCATGGTGAGGGTAATGGACTTGCATATCATCTCATAGTTAGTAAGTCTCAGAGATGAGATGTGAACCCAGATCTCTCCTTCTACTAGAAAAGGTTCTCAAGCCTATTTGATCTAATGCCCCCTTTTCAAAAAAAATTACTCAGTGCCCCCCTAGAAATCTACTTTCTTTAACCCTTTAACAGTTGTTTTTCTTTAAAAAATTGCATCATTTCAAAAATATGTGAAATATATTTTTAAAAAATGGCACATCTTAAATTTAATGATTTATTATATATTTGTGGGTTTTTTCCTGCATTGAAATTTTGATGACAGTATTATATCATGTAACCATATAGTATTGAATTGTAAACAAGTCATTACATGCGCATATTCCTGCCAATGCATGCTGGACTTCCTGACAATGCGTGACACACTTGCCTGCCAACACTTGCTTGTTAAGATCTGTCAGACTTGACCACTGATCAGCTGTGACTTGCATTTTGTGTGTTTATTTGGAAAATAACGTAGTCACTAAAACTTTAACTCTGAAAAATGTAAGAATGGTTTTTCAGATTTTTCTTATCTTCTGTTTCCTTATGCTTCCCAAACCCCATTATTTTTATCCCAATGCCCCCCCAATTGCACCTGAGGCTACTACTGCCCCCCTGGATCGTTCCAGCACCCCAAGGGGTGGTATTGCCCACTTTGGAAACCTGTGCACTCGACCATACACCTAAATGAGTAAAATGTTCCTACTGAGAACTTTGGTTTCTTAAGTGTTAAAATAAGCCACTGTGGCTTATGAGCAGGTCAGGCATCTGACAGCAGTTTGATTTGAGGTTAGAGAAGAGGTATCATCCAGAGGCTTTTATTTCGAAGAGATGGCTGAGGGCTGTTGAGGATTTGGGTCTCTGGGCCATCTTTGCCCTCTGCTCTGCTGCTGTTAAGAGAAGTAGGTGAGAATGCAGTGGTTCTGTCGGGCCTCCCACTGTGTGTAAGCCACTCTAATTCTATCAGCCAGAATTGAGCTAATGGCCTCCTACAGGTTTTGTCTAAATGGGAAGTCAGATCAAAAAGAATGGAGGACACTTTGGTGACAGCATTTAATGAGGGCCTCTTATCAAAATTTCAGTTGTTTAAATTGACTTTTTCTATCCTCATTTGTTTATATGGTGCATATAAA